ATATACTGTGTAAATCAGGGAGATTTTCTTTGTTTTCATGTCCTTCACATTTGATATAGTAAATCAGTTTATTTATTGTGATGATGAACAGTTCGTTAGCCATCTACCATATAGCTGGTGATTTTCAAGTGTCAAATTTTCACGATTTTCTTTTAAAACGACCAGATCACATTACAAAGAATGAAAATTTCACGATCACGATGTAAACAGACGTCTAATATATCCGTGTCTTGTCATTCACTGATTAAATTTTTGCGGTCACGTTTATAAACTGCGAAATAGCGAAAATATCATCCCGAGGAATATAACCGACTATACTTGTATTATACTTGACACGATAAACACTCTGTCGTAATAAATTCGGAGTTCTTATAACACACTCTGTACAAGATTCAAGTGTGACGTTTGATGACACCAGTGTGTCATATTATTTTCTACCGAAGTATGCAAAGGAGATATTCAATCGTAATCTCAACCTGTGAAAATAATTAAGGTACGGCGTCATTTTTTAACTCTACGATACCATATTGCTAGGTATTTTCGTAGTTTTTCATTTAAGACGACATAAGTAAATTTTAACGAAAACGTTTCAGTCTTGATATCAGTCATCTCATTTTAGCGAATCAGACACCATTATTGCTCATAAAAATGACAGTTATCTCTACTTCAAAGTCTTCTGTGCCATAAAACATGTAATTTGAATCAGTTACGATTAAATTAATCTTCAAAACCTTGTGTATGTTATTCTCAAAAGCATCCCTTGCCATTAAGGCAAAATTCATTTGTGCTTGATTGAGATACATCGGGTTAGAATTGTAGGCGTCATCATTTTGTGATAAGCTCACACAGTTTTACTATTATTGAGCATCAATAAAATATCTTTGGTTTTTTCTTCGCTTGTACCTCGCCTAGACAGCCAGGAGGCTGAAATAAGTATGAGCTGTGTTAAGTGCAAAGCAATCGTACGCCAGTCAAGAGCTTAAACGCCAAATGATACCACAATGATACCGTTGTCGATAGAATCCTGGCAAATGTTTGCCCAAAGAATTGATATAAATATCCAACGGTAAATATATCGTATCTTTATCTGATTTCTGAACGTTTTCACCATTTCATTTGCTCATGCTGTGCAATATAAATGAAACGGGAATGTTAACATAGTTTTTTTTCATTTCATTTCTGTTTTCTTTTTATTAATTCGAGTGACAATGAAATGTACATATTAAGATTTAATCTGTAACCTTCGTACAGACAAAAAGGTTTTGTCATGCAGTTTTGGTGTATAGCCTTTAAAATAAAGAATGTGCCAGTATTCACCAATCTCTATTTCTACTTTTATTTTACATATATATATCACATATCTACGATCGCATAAATACCAATTTGAGAACCTATAAAAACAAGAGAAAATTCTGATATCAAAGTGTTAGAAAGAATTCAATAGGACACTGAAAAGTAGGACTCTAGCTTCATATCAATGTAGATCAAAGTAATGTAACGCTCTCATAATGAGAAAGTGGGTAGTATTAATGAAACTATCAACCATACTAACAAGCATTAGACATTTATTCCATCCCACGTCTCCATTACAGCACGTCTGAGAAAACCTTCCTACAAGACATATTCATCTACATCTGTTTAGGTAATCCTATTTGAACAGATCCGTCCATATCTAATGGGCTGCACATGATCTGATACAATAGGGTGGAAAACTGAGGATGCTAACATCAAGGAGGACCATTACTAAATAGCAAAACACCTATACTGATGCTATCTCAGGACTTGGTAATATGTCCCCAGTGATTATGTTTCAAGTTAACGTAATCGACATTGTCAATTACTAAGCCATGTTCTTGATGCACTTCTGATAAACTCTTTTATAAATTAAGTCTTGATTCAGATACCACATGATCAACACAGAATAATTTCCTTCTAATGAGTTTGAACCTTTTGAAAGCTCATTCAAGACAGGTCAACAATATATTTTCATAATATATTAGTTTGCAATATATTCATAACAGATCTCTATGTTTCAGGAACTGCGGCCATAATGTCAGCAAAACCAAGAACCTAAACGCAACACAAGAATTACGCAAAGTTATGTGCATCATCTTTCCCATTTGTTAATATGATAGGTATTTTAAGCTAACTATAAAGTACTCCACAGTCTGTCTCTCCATCCCCCCTCCCTAAAAAAATCTTTTTGTCAAGTTCATATTTATCAATGGCATGCAAGCATCCTAGAGATATTGTTATAACTTTGTATGATGTCTGACTGCAAAAACAGGACTATAAAATAAATAAATAGATAAAATATATGTACAATAAAATTCCTGTAATGTATATGGTGGGTTCCGATGTCTACCTCTATGGTAGTATAATCCAGGTTTTATTGGAATAAATTTTATGATGTTACTTTTCTATATGTCATTAAAGAGCTTGTAATATGCAACAATGTTCTTTATTGTAAAATAAACGACAAACAATTAAATAAATGGAAGTTGTGATTTTAATATTCAGACAAACCCGTGCCCCTTACAGAGGATCGACTATGATTGAGGGATGTGTAAGTAGAACAATGTATACGAGTACAGCACTTAAAATAGTATATAAACCTTTTGTTCATTACATTTCATTACAACTTGTAATCAATATTCTGTTACATTTTGGTTGATTATGTGTTTTTACTTCAAGAAAACGTTTAGCACCTTAAGATCAGGAAAACAACTATCTTCGTCTAACTGATAAGAATCACAACAAGTTTTGTAATGCACAGTTTTCACAAGAGCTTAGTAAGACCAATTTGGCACTTATCCATTGTCCTACTGGAAGCAAGAATAATGAGTACCAACATTCTCATTATCCTACCGTAACCTAAGGTGGTTTGATTACCAATTTGTCCTCAGAGTTAAAAGTATAAAAACTATTGCAAAACAAGGCAGTGGATTTAAGAACAGATTATTATGACTTCAAGAAAAAAAACGAAACCAATTTTTCATGTAAATAAATTGATTGTTCGAAAAAGTGGGCTTGTATGATAATGAGAATCTTAAAGCAACTGAAAAAGCATGGTCATCAGATAAGCTTGTTAAATAATGATGAATTAATCCTGAATGTTTAACGATAAGGTCAGTAATATACAAACTGTATTTCTAACAGAATCATGAATGTGAAAAGGAAGTCTATTTTTAAACATTGGACATAATGATACCTTATAAGAGCATGGTCAGGTCCAAACACCCAGTTTTAATTCTTGCCAAAACATGCATGATATATACACATGAATCCACAATTCATATTTGGCAGTTGTAATCATTACTTATATTTAGCAAATGTTGGCATAACTTTTAAGCTTCAGATATTATAGAGTGCTCACATAATTTGCAATCAAATTTTGTTCTAGTACTAATTAAAAATAAATATTTGCACATGCCATTGTGTTTTCCTTGTAAAAATAATAAAAAAGCATTATCATTATTGTGTTATTATACTCTTTTGAATATTAATTCATAGATATAGCTTCATGTATCAAATCAAATTATATAAAAATGCTATGGTACTACAAAGCAGGTTTTAAAAAACACTAAGAACATATTTCTTCAAGCAGCATCAGAAGATTCTAAATATAGCACATAACTTTGATATACTGATTTGTCATTATACATATAAAATGCTGTCAAATACGAACTTATAAAGACAATAGCGGCACGTCAAAAGAATCTTCATTCAAACTGAAATAGACTAAACTTGGGCAAAATTTGAACAAAACACACCACATGGAGACTCATGGAAAAGTACAAACAAAACAAGACCAGGTATTCCTGAAGTCTTAGTGTATTCTGCTTCATCGACGACGTCCGAAACATTTTGAGAGAAACCTCAACAGAATTCCAGTCATCTGCCGCCTTGCTAGTACACCATAAAACATGATATTACTTACTTGGATCGACCAATATTTTCATGGCTGGAATCATCGATGAAGCAAAATATACTTACCCTTCCATGGTCATTTTCTCCTTGTATTGTTTCAGAAGTCGCCATGTAAATTTTATTTGCTCATATTTTGCCCCTGTTTCATCAAATATGAGTTTGAATTCCGATTCTTACAACATGTTGGTATTTTCTTTGTTTTATTTGTGGAGAATATCAAAGGGAAAAATGACCTTTATATACCATTAAGAAAAAAGAAAGTGTTAGGAGTTATGTCAATGAAGAGGCTGGCTAGGACTAGAGGACACTGGTTTAATAGATAACACCTATATTAATGGAATGATAGAAAATCATACATACATTCATACCTCCAGTATGCTGTCAGTGTTCACATACAATTTAAATAATGACAAGAAAATGCGTAACTTATATATTAATTACAATCACACCATGCTTGAACATTTAATTACTATAATTCATACATCCGCATGTAGTTGTCAAAAGCAAAATCTAAACCAAACACAAGAAAGCAGTTCCGCTTTAATATATGTGAAACATACTAAATTAGGTACCATCGTACTAAGCTTTTGAAGGGATGTGTACATATTCAAGAACTTATAATAGGCAAACAATTTTTCCTCCCTCAAAAAAGCAGTAACTTAACACTGGTAAACAATTTATATACCTAAGTATTCACAGATATCATAGATTAATAGCACTGATTGACTATGTGTGTTACAAAAGATGTCTGGCCACATGTTACTATGATCTAATGATAAAAATTCAAAACTTTAAGATATACTGCACTTCAAGTAGATTGATTGTACTCTATATTGCGAATACTTTTGAAGGAACCAATGTTGAAATTTCAATAAAAGTAATATCTAAAAAAGGATTATCAAATGTTTCATTAGACTTTTTACATGCAAATATGTTTTTTATCATTTGATAATCTACTTTGTAACTTGACTTACATTTTGATATGTATAATGATTTATAATGAATATTTCTTATGGCTGTATGCCATAATTAATTATAATACAAATATATAAATATATATATACTATATCCAATATATTAATTTACATTAATTACATAACTCTTATGGGGAAACTCAAAATGTAAGTATGTATACAATATTTATGTATGTACCGGTATATGAATGATAGGACTTAACCAAATCACGTAGCAGACCAATTATATTGAATGATCCCAGAGCAACACATCAAGCTGCTAAACACTACAACATCTAGTTAGGCACTAATATAACTCAAGCTTCTCTTTCGCTTATCTATTTAGCATACTTGGCAAATATGTCATATTTTCTATGACCTGAACAGTGAGTACAAAATGTAAATAATAATATATTGTTATGCCGTCTAGGAGCAATTAAAATGATAACAAGCTTTAAATAAGTAAAACAAATGCATTTGATAATAGGAAATTTCAATTTTCATGAACAATAAACTCATTTTGATAGAAAAGAAAAGAGAAAGAAAAACAAACCAAAAAAAAAAAAACAAACAAAAAAATAAAAATGGGTTGTAGTTTTGAGATTGTGATGAAAAATATGAGTGAAAAAAGTTTCAAAATAATTTTTTTTTTTGGTTTTTATTTTTTGTATTCCATGATTATGTATATCTCTATCAGTTGTATATTGCAACATAATATAAGGTTTTATAGGTTTTACCATCCGCACACAATCCATTACTGATGTTACAAATTGATTGTACATATTGTATTTTGAAATTGAACAGAAAACCTGTCATATTACAAACTTTCTCCAATTAAATTCATCTAGGTCAAACAGCTTTACAGAACTTAATATTGTACAATGTCAGAAGGAGAAAATAGTACATACATTGAAAATAAAAAAACTTGACTTGTAGCTGCCTAGGAATGATTCAGAAGAAAAGACTGATTTAAAAGTTAGCAAATATTTGGTCTTGATGTGCCAACGATTTGATTTGAGGCAACATTACAAAAATACAAAGAATTAATAGAAAATTTACAGCTCTCTTTCCATGACTATTTTAAGAGTGATTTAACAATATCAAGAAAACCAAAAATTCAATCCAAGAGAGGATATTCCTGAATCTTTAATAAACCTCAGTCCAATCCAGTATGAACTGTTAATCATTTTTACAGCTACTGGTATCATCTCTTTGACTCAATCAGGACCATAAATGTTTACACAGCACCTGCTTAAAGCTTCTATTTGAATACATAGCAAACCAATGTGGAAAATCACATATATCCATACTCCATTACCCTTCGGTATTGACACAATTATGACCTTTTTTTATTTTAAATATATAGCTACTATAAAAATGTATAATAAAAAAAGGAAAACAATCCGTTATTTTTTCAGCCAATTTCATAATGATTACAGTCTCATTCGAAAACAAATCATGGAATTTGATACAATTTTGATACCAGTCTTTTTTTAAACTAAAGCAACTACATTAATACATAATATTATTTTGTTCATTGAGACTCAATTCATTCAGGACAGTGTTTCTATGGAAACAAGAACATATAACGAGCTAATGGTTCACCCAGCACATGGGGAGTTCAGGTTCATGCAATGTTCAGTAGGTGGAGTTGGGGTTCATTATGTTAGGTACAGTGGTCGAATGGAGAAAACCTTTCCGCTGTTTCTGTTTCCTCTGTTCAGTCATCTGAAGGAAAATGATGAATACTGATTCATACAATATTTCAAAATGAACAAATACATTTCTCAAAATGTCTGGGACAAATGAAGTCAAAAGATCCTTTTCAAATTTCACTTATTCAAGTTTATCAGCTTACCTTGTCATGTATTTCAGAGTATTGCTAAACTATAATGAATGCCAGCCTGTTGTAAGAACTTACTAATTTTAACATTTTTTTCAAACTTACTCAAATATTTGTTACAAAACTAAGTAAGAAGATTCCCATCCAGAAGTCTTATTTAAAACCACGTGCTAGAATTGATTTACAGTAACAATATCCTGATGTTTCAATTCCTATCATTTGTTTTTTATCAGTATTACAAGGAAATTGACACCCAAAAACTATGTCAAATACCTTGCATCATTCAATTCATCCAGTCATGTAATATAAGAGTAATTTGGAACCTACCTGGTCTTTGAGCTCACTCAGCTGTTTGGAAAGGTTTTTAATTAGAGTGTTGGCACAGTCCAGCTGCGCCTGCAGGTTTCGTAATTCGTTTTGTTCTCCATCGCTTTCTTCTGCCTGAAGTGACATGGCTCGCATCCTTGGGAACCATTCCAGATTTTTCTCCTGTACGTAACACAGATAAGTTAGTTAATTATATGATAAAGTGTATGTCAGACAACACTGAAAATCAGTCAGAAGGGCTCTACAACCTTCATATAGCAAGTTTTTATCAGAGGAATTCATCTCAGTACTAATGATGGGGGACGTCATGTAACCCCTAACTAGGAAACTGCATACATATCTTCAGTTCTGGATTATTCCAATCCTAATATACGTGCATGTAGATAGAGCAGACTGACACACCATGATTCAACATAAAGAAACAGAATCTTTAAATAGTGTACAAAAAGACACACAAGTGAATTGCACCATTTAATACAAATTACAAGATGATACAGTAGAGCCAAAGAATGAATTAAACTGCATCAAAGAAAATTGCAAAATGTCTGCTTAAGGAACACTCCAATCACTGCCTGTGTAATTCACATATACACATCCTTTCTGTTTGCAAGTTAACCAATACATGTATTATACTGACCCACAATTATCAACTTTCAAATTGGATCTGGAATGATGGGTGTTAGTTTTGTGAAACAGAATCTATTGTTCTCATCAGAATCTTTTTCTTCATGTTTAGAATTATGTGCTATTTATATCTCTAACTTTGCACTGTCTTTTTATAAGCCTATAGTAACCATATCGCCTAACTTTAAATCATTATCAATACTAGGTATCTCGTCAATATCCAGTGTGTGTATACCTACCTTTATCATGGAGTGGACGTAACTTTCCGGCCCCGTAAACTCGGTGCGATCTTTCACCTTCACCAAGACTATGAAGTTGAGATAGTGCCACATATTGTGCTCTTTTGACTTGTGTTCATCAAAAGATACATCCTTGTTGTCGAATGCAACACGATTTAAACCTGAAATTGAGTAAGACAATAGAAATGATATCATAGTTTTAAAGTTTTTATTCAATTTAGAGTAATCATATTTCTTCATTTTCAATAAAAAGATGTCACAGAAAACCAATTATTTATAAAAGTATCTGTTTCTATAAGGTTGGTTCAGCCACTAGGCACTGCACTGACTCTAGCCTAACCTTTATAACCTTTCTATGTTTGTTGTTGGGGTGTTGTTATATATCAAGACTTTACACTTCGGTCCCAAATCATGATGAATTGTCAAAATGTACTTCAAACCAAATTTCAACCTTACCTGTCCACCAAATACAAGGTGTTAGCAACAGAGAATTTCTGAAAATCATGGGAGTCACTTGTCATAAGTCTTTGGGATCTACATTGGTCATGTATCAGTTGGCAGTTTTAATAGAACGAAGTCATTAATAAATGGGTTGAAAACTAGTGTTCATAACCTTAATATCTATAATGTGAATACTGGTGAATTCATGAAAATTGAACAGAGAAGTTTACATACATACCACATATAAAACATGTATTTTTTAATGTTTGTTCTTTGTTCTGTTTTTCACTCCTCAAGTCAGCAAATGTGTCGATGATGACACCAAAGATGAGGTTGAGGACAATAATGATGACGATGAAAAAGAACAGCATGTCATACACAACTCTGGCTATAAACAAGGGCTCCTGGTGAACAAAATAGAAAAAAAATAACTTTCATTTTGGCAAAAACTTTCATCAGTTTTTTTTTCTCATAGCACAAAAAATAATAATATATATTGATTTTCTAAGTCATCTGTTTCAATAAAACCAGTGTAAAACCAATTTGATTCCAACAAAATTCTCGTTAACATGTGAGCAGATTTTAATGAGCATTCAAAAGTTTTCCCTAGTACTTCAACAATATGTTTAATGACAGAGGAAATGAATTTCAACCTTTAAATGCAACAATGTAAAATCAGTCTCATTGTTTCTTCAGTAAGACTTAATTAATTCACAATGGAGTTGACCATGCTTCAGATTTAAGAAATCATTTCTGGTACCAATTAAAGGAATAAGTTACCCTTGCAACAGGTGTTTACAGAAAACATAATGTTGCTATTAGATATTTATGTTGTGTAATTACCATGGTATCAGACTGTTGAATTACCATCAGTTTTTTAAGTTGCTTACCATGGTATCAGGTTCACATGTTACCATGGTATCAAATTTGAAAATTCCCATGGAACTAGCATTACAATGGTACACATAACGGGTTGGATCATGACACGAGTTTCAGATTTAAAAGTCACTTACCCTGGTATCAGGTTTACGAAGTACATCACCTATGCCACCTCCGTTTCTCAGTCCTTCATTCAGAGTAGTGAGAATGCACATGATGAGAGAGTCACACACACGCTGTTTCTCACTAGATTCCTCTTCTGACACCACTGTAAATCACCACGGCCATTTTTAGGGCTTACTGTTTTACTTGAAAGCTTTACCAGCAAATTAATTAATGTAACAAACAGAGTTTTATTTTGATCACAGATCTTTCTTTTGCATATACTGTCAAATCACTTATTTAAATCAAATTTCTGTTTTCATTCCTTTTGTGGCTATTTTTGATCCAATAACCAATAGGTCCATAAGTTATTAAGCTGTTCAGAAATTTAGATGCATTTTTATTATATAGGCTGATTTCACGAGAATCACTACACAAAATCAAGTGTCAACAAACTATTTTTTCAAAAGGAGACACAAATTTGAGACCCACAAAAAATATGATTGTACAGTAGTCTCTCCTTCATTAGCTGACTTTGGAGTTGGATCCAAATCTAAGTTTCTTCTTATGTTAGTCACACCCTTCTCATGATTTTTCTATTTTGTTACTTCACTTCAAGTCTGTAGAACATGCTTTCAGTACATTAAAAATGTTTTAAGATGGCCATATAGAATACGCTGAATCAAAATCTGTGTCGTAATATTACAGTAACTATAATTTTAAAGTAATTGAAATATATTAATAAGCAGCAAGGGCAAATTTCCAGAGTAAGAAACAAATTATAAAACTGACTCCCAATATGGCTCAAAATATGGTGAGGTCCAAAGCAGCTATTCTAGCAATATCAGCTGATAAAACAGAGACCTTTTCCACACCATATTTCAGCATCCTACCTTGGGCAGGATTCAAGTAGTGGGCTACTTTGTCGGAGATACTGCAGTTTCCATGAGCCTCACACGAAGCATTCACTGTATTATTTATGTCTGTCAAATCTGAAAAATCAGCACATTTCAGGGTAAACAATTCCCAATAAAATTTAGTAACAAATATTTTATCAGTATATTAAATATCTGATCTGTTGTTGTATATAAATTGAAATCCATCTAACTTAACATCAAAAGGCATATATGTTTGACATGTATAGCACAGAAATTTCAAGAGTTCCATTGATTTCTAGCATTTAATTCAAATAGAATAACTGCTTTTTATCTGGAAAGACATGATTCATAAACTAACTTGCATAAACTCCGTCAACTGTAATAAAATTTCATTTATGTGTGTTGTCTCTTCATAATATAAAAATTGATCCCTTGAAAATTTTGTCATAATTACTGATGATTTGAGGAGGGTCAATCCTCTCCACTTCCATGAGAAAGTCATCCTTGAAGAAGATAAATCCAATGATGGAGAAGAGGTAGATGAGTATGACAGCAAGGACGGCGGTGAGGACAATGGAACGACCATTCCTCGTCACAGACTTGATAACATTCAGCAGGGTTTCCTCTCTGTACACTAGATCTAGCAACTACAGCAAAAACATACATAAGGAAAAGAATGAAGAGAACTGTGGATTCATATCTAAAATGATAAGGTGTCAAACTGGATGTATTCTGTAGTATTAAATGAGTTGTCTTTTTCACTTGCAAGTACTTATCTACACTATGTTTCACAATCTACTCCTTGTTAACTATAACAGTGTTCTGTGACTTCTCTGACTACTACTTCTCTCTGCAAGATGTAAGCAATGGGGAACTATGGGAAATTCAAACCTCAGTTTGGACAATGAGGTCTTGTATGGTGTAAATATGAGATGAATCTGTTACATATGGAGAAAAAACTTACCAAGAAGCTGTAGAAGAACTCATGTACACACAGTCCAAGGACACATAATATGAGATATCCAACATTATACACAAACTGAAAATCCCTCAGCACCTGAGAAGGTGGTTTTGTGAAAGTTCCATTGTTTCCCATCAAACTTATCAAAAATATTCCTTTATTTATCACCTGAAAAAAAAAACTAATTACTTAAATTTTTTGAGGAGAAAAAAAAAGACAAGTACTAGATTTCATATAATATTATTAGATAGTGATGTTAAAAGTATACTGTGACAATTTTATCATTACTGTGATGATGATGATGATGATGATGATGATAAGGAGGAGAGGATGCAGGGAGGAAAGTGTAGAAGGGAGAGTGTTTTGTTTTGGTTTTGTATGTATATTATATTATATTAAATAAAAAATCAAATTTTAGAAAAATTTATTTTATCATTATTAATTTGTATTTTGTTAACTGAAATTATTCGCAGCTGTTTATAATCGTAACCTTTATAAATAATCATCAAATCCATGTAACAGTTACAACTTAGTGTAATGGAAATTTTATCATTCAGCAATATTATACAAATCAAAATCTGCATACCTGCAATGACCTACACTTACATTTAAGGCACCTAATAGCCACAAGGTGGGTTCAAGTCCAACAGAGAATATAAACCGAAGAATGATAGAGGCTATGAAAGTTCTAATAGCTGATGGGTACACTCCAACACTGATCACTAAAGCAAGGGATCCAAACATGGCAGTCCACACCAGGCCCGACAGACGAGGGTCAAGCTCTGTAATGCATCATCAAGTAGAAATCTTATTTCGTTAGCAAGGTTATATTTTTTTAATGGTTCAAACTATCATGGCTTTACCAAAATCTTGAAGCAAAATGGATGTAGTTTCCATGGAAGTAATGAGAGAGACAATGGTTTTGTCTATAGGTTCCATTTTTGAGGTATTAATACTTTATAATTTTTATTCCATCCTTGAAAAATAGCAAAATATAGAATCCTTCAAAATTGAAAATCTATAATTTCTTTTTTAAAGGGCAGTAACACAGTACTATAAATCATGATAAATTTGTACTCAGATTTTGTTTAAAAAGTTTATAAATCACTTAAGTACTACTAAGTAGTAAAAAATTCATGAAAGTTTTCACAGAAAAGTGTAACTAAATCAGACTCATTCTCTCTCTTTTTTTTTCTTATTTAATCAAAAGATAAAAATAAAAAAAACTAGAAAATGTCTGTAAGACATGATTTAATCATAAAGATAAAAATAAAAAAACTAGAAAATGTCTGGTGAAGATTATGCTTTCATTATTATTTTGTTAGCATATTTATTATAGCATATTATGATGATAATGGGAAAAAAAACCCTGTAACTTCTATCCTTATTCATTTGTTTAATTGGAACAAAACAGGCTCTACGAATAAAGATAAAGCATGTCATATCACTGCCACAAAGTACAGAACAAAGAAGTATGGGATGTGTGGATTACCATCTCGTTCATCACTGAAGGGGTAGAAGCAGGCCACCAGGAAGTTGATAAGGACGGCAAAGTTAAAAGTAATGCTGCTCCAAAGAGACATGTGACTGCTGAACCACGACAGGTATGGATTGGCTGTAATAAATCTCCAGAATTAAAGACTGAACCACTGAATTATGATAGATGTGTATCAACTAAAACAAGTCATCAATATCACACATAATACAAACTGTTTGAAACATTACAGACAATATACAATGCCAAAGTTTAAATCAGGTATGGAAACTTATAGGCTATCAATATTTCCAGTAAGATGTGATTATACATATACATACACAAAGGAAACAATATTACTTTTATGTTATACCCTCTAAGTAGGGGTTTTTACCTCGGAGTTTCTTCTGCCATCTCATCTCAGCAAAAAGATCCTCATGTCTTTCAAAAAAGTCCACAACCTTTGACCCCTGTTCGTCCATCTCTGCACAGTTGTAGATCCTTGTCTTTGTTTCTTCTGTTAGGTATTCACAGATCTCTGGTATCGGAAACACAATCTGTTCCATCGTTCTGTTCTCCCTCACAATCTATCACACAAAATATAATTTGTTAAGAAACACTGATAGAAATATTTGTATCGGAAACAAAAATCTGTTCCATCGTTCTGTTCTCCCTCACAATCTATCACACAAAATATAATTTGTTAAGAAACACTGATAGAAATATTGGCATCAGAAACACAATCTGTTCCATTGTTCTGTTCTCCCTCACAATCTATCACACAAAAAATAATTTGTTAAGAAACACTGATAGAAATATTTGTATCGGAAACAAAAATCTGTTCCATCGTTCTGTTCTCCCTCACAATCTATCACACAAAATATAATTTGTTAAGAAACACTGATAGAAATATTGGCATCAGAAACACAATCTGTTCCATCGTTCTGTTCTCCCTCACAATCTTTCACACAAAATATAATTTGCTAAGAAACACTGATAGAAATATTGGCATCAGAAACACAATCTGTTCCATCGTTCTGTTCTCCCTCACAATCTATCACACAAAATATAATTTGTTAAGAAACACTGATAGAAATATTTGTATCGGAAACAAAAATCTGTTCCATCGTTCTGTTCTCCCTCACAATCTATCACACAAAAAATAATTTGTTAAGAAACACTGATAGAAATATTTGTATCGGAAACAAAAATCTGTTCCATCGTTCTGTTCTCCCTCACAATCTATCACACAAAATATAATTTGTTAAGAAACACTGATAGAAATATTGGCATCAGAAACACAATCTGTTCCATCGTTCTGTTCTCCCTCACAATCTTTCAAACAAAATATAATTTGCTAAGAAACACTGATAGAAATATTGGCATCAGAAACACAATCTGTTCCATCGTTCTGTTCTCCCTCACAATCTATCACACAAAATATAATTTGTTAAGAAACACTGATAGAAATATTGGCATCAGAAACACAATCTGTTCCATTGTTCTGTTCTCCCTCACAATCTTTCAAACAAAATATAAATTGTTAACAAATATTGATAGCACAATTGTTCTAAACCGCAATCTTTCCTTATTTTTGTTTACATACATTTTGCTTTATTTCTGCTTGACTGACACTGTAATTTGTCATAGCATTAATGTTTAAATAGAACAGGCAGATGAAAATATGATCATCATATCTTTAATGGGACATTCCTTTGTTCAAATTGCAGATATATGCTACATCTATTATTTTTCAAATTTATATATAACAGAGGATCACATTGCCTATCAGTGGTGACATTAAATGTACTGAAATACATGAATCATATATAAACACTGTCAATATGCGCAGGTAATCTTTATTCTTTTGGCCGAATTCAGAATCTCAAATGTTTTTTTCAATTTAATAAATTTGGGTCATTTTGAGACTCTGACTGCTGTTTTAGTGTTATTTACTTTTACTACTCTAGAAAAGTATACATTTTGCATCTAGCTTCATTTTTATAAACTGAAGTAGTTTCAAGAAATAAGAATCTTTGAAGACAAATGAGAAAAATACAGATAAAATAAATCACAACACCAACACAATTTTTTTTATCAAAATACAATCACAGGGTAAAGACCATAAAGTCTTAAGTGAAACCTTACCTCTATCTGTGCTGTATGTTTTTCATAGAACTTGAGTGCTTGGTCTCCCCATAAGTCATCATCACTGGGCTTCAACAGGTTTGCCAGCTCCTCTTTGTGTTGTGACAGCTGCAAACACAGTACACTTATGCCTACATCTTACAGATCAAAGCAAGAAATAAATTTTGCTAAACTTTACTGATGAATCCAAGTAATGTACTTTAAACACTAGCACTTAATGCATGTAACAAGTCACATAAATCCTACTAATACACAATTTAATAAGCTGATGGGTAAGGAAATCATTCAAAAACAAACAAACATCTGAATGACGTCCAAAAACAGGAACATGGCAACTGATATTGAAAAACCTTACCTGTGTAGCTAGGATGTAGATGTTGTGGCCCACAGCTTTAGGTGAGGCTTCAATTCCACTGTCCTCTTCCTCTTCATCATCATCATCTATAGTTGCCTCTTTATGGAATGCATTTTTACAGTTCTCCACCTATATTCACAGTAAACAAGGCTGAGAATTTCCAACATTTCCTATACATCTACACATACTAATCAGTGGTGCAGGGGTAAACAGAAATATAAAACAGGTCAATGCTGATATCGGAACTAAATTATCAATGGGTAGTTAAGAAGTGTTCATAACCCAAACTTAAAAAACAACTCAAATTTCTTATTTGACAATATCTGCTAACAAACATAAGATCAAAAAATTATTTAAGCTTTTTCATAATCAAGCAAAAGTGAGCAAAATTGTGAAAGTTTAAATTATTTCACACCATGAAAAAAGGGAATGACCAAAGTGTAGCTATGGTAAGCTGCCATGGTGCAAAAAGAAAATAATAAAATCTTACAGTAGTTCTAGTAACAGTATAAAACCTTTTCCTGAACAATAACAAAAGAATATTCAAAGAATGATTCCTACTTTTCTTCTTTTGTAGTTTGAAAACAAACTCTTAAAACAATAAATTCAAAATCAAACGTTTTCATTTTCAATGTTTATTTAAGATATAAAATGAATATCTGGGTGTCAACAATTTCCTTTTGTTATCCCAGACAGAACACAGCACCAACTATAGCTTGGTACAAAGATACCTACACAATATTGAAGGTTCTACATCTGCTGGGACACTAGTTTCTACTCAATCAACACTTCAGACTGCTACAGACTACCCAAAATGGAACAAACAGTCATCGTTTGTTTTCAATTGTATTACAAAACTTAAAGAGAAATTCACTGGAAAGCAAAACCATCAGGACTACCTATCAAAACTGATTGAATTTCCATCAATAATTGTTTAATTCATAATTTTTATGTAACCTTGGTGTTATAGATTGAAGTTAACCAGAGAAAGGAATTTTGCATCTAAATAATAGGCACAGCAAACTGGGAAAAACAATCTAAATTTAAATATGAAATCATTTTAGTTTTAACATTCACTTATGAATACTGTTACAAAATTTTCAAGAGAAAATTTGTATTACCATAAGCATAAACATTAGCATTATTGGAAGTTTTATAAACAGTTTGTTAATTTATAAATATCCTATAATCTTGTTAATGTAATGAAGAAGAAGTGGTTTTGTACCTCAACAACATAGTACAACTAATTGGACAAAACAACCCAATAGTGAATATTTAATTGTCTTTTTTGTACACTGATATATAGGAATGTATGTAAAGAAAAATATGAATGTCATCAATTGAATACTTGTAATCATTTTTGTTAGACTGTCAGTAAAATTATCATAATCATCCTTTTAAATATATTTACCACAAAAAGATGTGCTATCAAATAATGTTTTGAAATAACAATAATTCCACATGATATTATAATGCATGTACCTTTTTGTAGACCTGTTAATTGTGCATCTTTCAAAACCAGTTTTACTTATAACAACTCAATGTTGAATTATGTTTTCCATATTGCTTCTTTTCATCAGATGTTGTACTTGTTGAGACTACTGATATGTGCATGCTTGTTCTTTAATATAGATGTGCAAACTTAAACTAATGAGGATTTTTCTGACAGCAAACAAATTGTGAAAGCGAAAGCATAAAAAGGGCATTTAAGCAGCACATTTATCATTACAGTACCAGCTAGTCTATTAAACATCCCTAATGACATCAAACTATTATTAGAACCTAACCAAACAAAAAAAAAAAAAAAAAAAATGAAAAATTGCCATGCAAGTAACAAAGGGTTAAGTAATAAAATGTTTTCCCAGTGTCAAAAAATTGTACATGTATGTAAGAAAATAAAGATATATCTACTATCTTACCAGTGACTTTGATCCAGCTAACAGCAAGGTAAGAACACTTTTAAGAACTACATGATAAGAGGTATGTTAACCTTAGACAGCCAAAAACCTGAATAATTACTGCATAATTACAACTTGTACTCATAAAACAATCATAAACATTTTATGAAAACTCAGCATAAATTCAGAAAAATATGAAAAATAAAAATCATTTGATTGGTTTCCCCTAATACCAAACCCCCCTCCCCAATAAAAATATGACAAATAGTATCTAAATAGGATGGATATACTTTTAAAAATTATAGATGGAAAAGAAATTGGTATTTTTAAATGACATTTTAAATGATATACTTTAAATAAAACATGAAATAATGTATGATAAAAGAGTGTGGTATGATAAAAGAAGATTTTGTACAGAAAACAGACATAAAAAATAACAAAATTTGATGTAAAACAGGAAATCTATACACTTCACAATGATGGAACACCAGGTTTTCTAAAAGCCCTATTTTTTCTTAAGATCAGAAAAAATAGCATAAAAAGAATCACTGATTGGTTTGCTTTTACAGGACACTTTCTAAACAGAATCAAAAAGGAAAGGTAAAGTGTTAATCACAGGATTTTGCCTCTATATTGTATGTACACAGTAGACATGCAAGTCACCAACATGCATAGTCAGATACAACACTTCAATAAGGAGGTATCATAAAACCTTTCGTAAATCAATAATTCCTCTGTCTAAAGCCTGCTTAAAGACATGTCCCAAAGCTTCTACCTGTTAAACAACAATCACAGTGTCAAATCAAGTTGTTATAGGCAGGTTTGGCATACCACGGCCAACAGGTGTATTCACACGAAGGTGGGACCACATAATGATATACAATCTGTCAATACTGTATTCTCAGTTCCAGTTCTTTTGTATGACAGATGTACATTCAATTTACATATCCAGACTTTGATCTAAATCTGCCTTAACATTTCCAATAATCTACAACTACTTACACTTTTTAAGCCCATTGCAGATTCCAAATAAGGGTTTTTTTTACAAAATATTTTCCTATTAAATGAATTATTTATTTCATTACTAAATCATTACACATGTTACTGAAAGAAATTATATATATATATTTCATAAAACTATTTACTCCCATTTCTCTCCTTTCCACTGGGATTAAAAGAAATGTATCTGGAGGTCATGGAAAAGCAAATAAAGTTAGGACCAACGGGTTAAGGTTGTATTGCTCAGGCGTGAACAAAAGAAAACTGTAATCATGATGCATTTGAGTCTTATCACATGCATGATCTTGTAACCCTCAAACAGACCTTCTGACCTTAACCTTACTGCACACCTCTGATCCTTTTTATTTATCTCTGCTCTTTATACTCTGTCACTGTATAAACTCCTTTTTATACCCTCAGATTTAAAGATTGGGGGCATGTTGTTTTTGTGCTGTCTGTTGTCAACATTAACCTTGCCCATCACTATTGCAGCATAAGAAGCAGGGCTTTCATACTTGGCATGCCTGTTCTTTGTGACAAGGCCTTTCTGCTGGTACCAAAATATTTGATCATTTGACCTTGACTGTGTGACTTTTGACCTACATTTGAAAAAAAATTTAACAATGACCATAACTATTGCATCATAAGAGGTAGGGCTTTCATATTTGGCATGCCTGTTCCTTGTGACAAGGCCTTTCTGCTGGTACCAAACATTTTAAGCATGTCACCTTGACCATGACCTTTGACCTACATTTGTAAAAAAATCATTACCACAAGGAAGATATAAATGTTTCAAAAAGTGTGCATGCAGTTAGCACATGCCTTACACAGTATAGTTTTACGGTCCCGCTTCAGAATTGTGTCGCAACTGGGGGAATAGTGTTTCATAAACACACCTTGTTTTGATTGTTAGGATTTTTGCAGTTCCACCAAAATCTTGAAATCAAAAAAATTTTTTTCCCGGAGTAATCAAAGCAGTTTCACCAAAATCTTGAAATCAAAAAATTTTTTTTCCTGGAGTAATCAAAGCAGTTTCACCAAAATCTTGAAATCGAAAAGAGTTTTTTTCCTGGTGTAATCAAGTCTTGAAATTTTTTTCCCTACCAAGATCCTTAATAAAGTATAATTTTCTGTTTAATTTAATTTTCATGATATTTATCTTTTGTGACTTGATATCATCCTTGAAAATAGAGAAAAATAAAAACTCCTAAAAAAATCTACCTGAAGTTCACATTACATAATAAGTATGATAATTCTCGAATCATAGATTGGGTCAGTTATTGTAACTTGTAGTTGTCTATAAATATCTGAAATGTTCAGCTCTGTAATTGTGATTCCCAGGTATGCAGTAGGTTTTAATCCTGACATTGAGAAGATGAAATGTTACAATAAACTGTATATGTATTCAAATGAGCATTTAATAATTCCAAAGTTAAAATCAATCCACTGAATATGAATGATAATCTAGGTCTATCAGTACTAGTATCAGTTTGTCAATGTTATAATGTTAAAAGCTATATATGGTTACCCCTCTAATTTTGCTGTGTCTTGCATTTCTCTTATAACATGGGAAAATCTTACTAAATGAAAAAAAAAGATGAAAGCAAAACTGATTTTTTTCAATCTATTCCTTTTTTTCATTTCTTATTCATGTTTTGACTCTAATAAATCTTTCATTTACAATTTAAACAGAAGGGGCTACCATATTTCTACATTTAATTGGGCACCATAATATAATAATAATGATATAAACACACAACATTTACTTAATGATAAACCTTACCAACTGTTTACAGTTCATGTTATACAGGATTCTTTCTGCGTTTTCACTATCATGGCGACTTTCCATAACCGCAAGCAATAGTTTGGAAGCATTGTTCTGAAAGACAAACAAAATCAAGAATCCAGTATGCGAGTGAACAACTTATACTTTTTACCACAGTATCTTTAATGAAAAGGTAAAATGTTATTGTCACTAAATTAATATACGAGTTGTGTATCCATTATCAATATTTTGTGGTGCATTTAACAGACTTACAACAATTGTAAATTTGAATATTTGGAGAAAACAATTATAACAAAAGATCAATGGTAAATGAACCAGTAACCCTCTACAGTCTGACTTAGGACCTACACTTTTATGCTATAAATAAACCAGTAACCCTCTACAATCTGACTTAGGACCTACACTTTTACGCTATAAATAAACCAGTTACCCTCTACAGTCTGACTTAGGACCTACACTTTTATGCTATAAATAAACCAGTAACCCTCTACAGTCTGACTTAGGACCTACACTTTCATGCTATAAATAAACCAGTTACCCTCTACAATCTGACTTAGGACCTACACTTTCATGCTATAAATAAACCAGTTACCCTCTACAGTCTGACTTAGGACCTACACTTTTATGCTATAAATAAACCATTTACCCTCTACAGTCTGACTTAGGACCTACACTTTTATGCTATAAATAAACCAGTTACCCTCTACAATCTGACTTAGGACCTACACTTTTATGCTATAAATAAACCATTTACCCTCTACAGTCTGACTTAGGACCTACACTTTTATGCTATAAATAAACCATTTACCCTCTACAATCTGACTTAGGACCTACACTTTTATGCTATAAATAAACCAGTTACCCTCTACAGTCTGACTTAGGACCTACATTTGTAAGTAAATAATTGTTATATACAACTGTTTGATGTTAAGAGTTGACAGAAGGTAACTCTAGTAAGAAAATACTCTTTGAATACAGAAAAGAGAATCCTCCATAATAAGAGGCCTAGCGGCCTTGACTGAGACAAGCAATACTGAATATATAGCTTTACATGTAAAGTAAGTAGCTTTCAACTCTCAGTAAAAAGAAAGTGTGACATTGATGGTAGTAAGACTTACATGTTATAAGCCTTTTGGGCAAATACGCATACCATCAAACTATCTTCCTACGCTTATAATTCTAACAAATTATTTCTGATGAAAAATAAACAATGTTATGATCAAAAATGCAATTTTGCTAAATTTACAGTTTTGGTATAGCTACTTAAGACCATTCCAACATAGTCTTTCTCTCACAATTTCTCTTATAACTGAGGGCACTATATTATACATGTTATCTCTGAAGAAAGAATATACTAATTAAAATCTGGTGTTTTGTAGTAGGATGTATTGGTAAGTATCGTTTCTGACAGTTACATGGCCAGTCATACCTTAAGTTCTAACACCAGATCCATGCGGTTCTTGCCGAGAGGGTTGATATCATTGAGGAGCAAGTCAATGATGATGTCTATTCCATTACTCTCATGCATTGCTATGGCATTCTGAAAGAGTCACAAAGTCCAAGAATCAGTGTGTGGAATTATTGCACCTTCTTCTAGTTTTAAATATGAAACAACATCACCAATAAATTAAGTAGAAGCATATGAAACGAATGTAATATAACAGTGTATATAAAATGTTATATTATTGCATTTCATATCAGTTTTAAAAAATCATCAATAATATCAGTATCTAGATAACTTAAGTATCTCAAGTAAATGGCCTCAGGAGAAATGTATGGATAGAATGGAGACATCCCCTGAAGATGTTTCCTGATTTTAATGAAAGGATCCACTATTATCCATAAGCCACGGATTGTACGTAATTTTGTGACAGGATCCCACAAGCCTAAAGACCATCTGGTTTTTATCATATAATTTGAAAGACCGTGGTGACTTTACCTGATTTATGTGACAGGGCCCCTGACAGTATTCTGTGAGTGTAGTGAGAGCCTGGTTGATGAGTCCAACATTATTCTCATTGATGTAGAGTCCCAGCAGCCCTAGACCCCCGGTGGTGCTACCACAGATACAGTCAAGGAACTGAAGTGTCTCACAGACCAAGTTGTATGGCGTCTTATTGTTGGCTTGGTGCCTAAGATAGTTCTACAACACATCATAACAAATAGTGTCCAATGACAATGGAGTTGTGAGCCTCTGGCAAACTAACACTGTCTAATCTTGTCAAAAAAAAGAAATAGGCGAACAACAAAAAAACATTTATAAACCCATGTACAGATGTCACATTGACCGGTTCCACTTGGAAATGGTGATATTGTCAATCTACATCTCTTAATCAGGTATTAACACAAATGACACCATGAATTTATACTGTCACAATGTAACCTTTTAGCCATACAGCTCTGCTATATCATATTACACCTATAAAATAATGAAAAATTATGTAACCAGATATTACTACACTGATTACAATGTTGTTCAGTGATAAAACAATATCTATAACTTTTTGATGATTAATGAAACGATATTACAGTGGGGACATACTTACTTGTAGATCATGATTATGGTTCTCACAGAGAAGCTGCAGGAATCGAAGAATTGGTTTCATCAGTACCACATGTGGTGCGAGTTTTTTCTCATCCTTATTTTTGTTAGGCTTGTCTGCCACTTCCTCTGTAGGGCCATGACCTGACCTTGTCCCTTCATCACTGTCATACTCACGACCATGTCTGAGTGGTACACCCTTCACTATCCTGCCCTTCCCAGATAGTTTCCACTGACCGTTCTCTGATGCATTCTTCTGTAGACGGCCTTCTAAACAAACACCATAGATGTTAACATTTGATAATCAACTATGACTATTGTTCAATCAACTATGTTACAATAAGTGCTCTCAACAACGGTGAAGTTTGTTATTTTTGCAAGGTCGTTTTTCAACATTTTCAAGGGTGAAATAGAAAAAAAAAAAAAGGATACTTAAAAAATTTAATTCATAGAGGGAACCAGCATGTAAAATAACATACTAGAGCATATTGTTTATCAAAATTTTGCATTGATTGGAAATAAAACTGAAAATCATTCAATGATTTTTCGCTAATTCTACAAAATCTACCCAAATATTACACTGCTGCTCTCTTGCAAATTGCCTTTCGCCACATTTACCTCCATTACGGCTTGGTTTACTGTGGTTGAGCTGTTCATGAGGCTGGGTGTCTTTATGTTCTGTCAAGTGTTTGTCCCCCTCACCAGTGTTGACTGTTTGGGTGGCCTTAATCTCCTCCTGGGCATTGAACATTTTGGTGTAGAAGACTTTGAAGAATACCTCAGATTGTTTGTCTGATATCAGTCTTGTGTAAATAGATTTCTGTAATATTCAATACATTAGTGTTGATGAGGACACATGTAGAATGCACATTTAGAAGATTGTGCTTGGACTAGGTCAAAAGCATCTTTGGCTTGGTGCATCACATTATTAATGGAGGAAGAGAAATCAAATGAATTGTAAAAACTTCAAAGCAAACAGGAAAGAAATAATCCAATTCATACTAATTGATCTTGCTGGCAAGGATGAAAGTGTGCAAGGGGTTTAATGTGGGAGGAAACCAGAGTGCATGACAAAGACGTATGTGGTTGGGTAGGTGACCCCTTACCATGCCTTGATATTGCTGATAAATTAACATTTAATCTCCATTTAGCTGAAGTAAGTTAGAGACTATGTAATTTTGTCTTTACAGCAATGCACAGAACACAACATAACAGTATTTACTGAAATTTTTAACACTCTATTCTTGTTTTCAGAAAATTTATATTTCAATATCGTATTCCAATATTTCATACATCTGAATTACTTCATATCATTCTTTTTTCCAATATCCTATTTAATGTAATTCTTTAATTCATACCTCTGTGCAAGCCTGGAGTAATTTTGTGAAGGTGTTAAGTCATACTGTGTAACTATCTATATCATTACCAATGCACAGGAGTAAATATTTTGTGAAAGTGTTTGACCAAATCAGACACCTGAATTTCTTCATTTCCTCCTTCCAACAATGCTTTGCCTAGCTCAACAGTTTCCAAGAAGATTTTGTTACTGGTGTCCTTGATGATCAGATCCACAATGAGGTCACTGGCTCCCTCCTTATCAAGACGACACTGCAACATTAACATAACAACTCATACCACTTGCCGAACACTTAACACCACTATCCTGTGTCAGAGATGATCAACTTCTCAATACAAAAAAGGTTTTTACTAGTGTGTTTTTTAAATGATGTATCTGAAACTTGTGAATATTATTCTTAAGTTGCTACTTGCGTGTGCGTTGTAATAACTGAACATGTACATGCATTAGTGTAGTAATTCACATAACCATTATGAAAATGTTTTACTTGATATATATATATATGAGGAAAAAATCAACATAGAGTAAAAAATGTTTCATATATAAATAATCATGTTCTTCAGAGAAAGACAGAAATTACATCAGGTGGGGGAACAAAACCCATTTAATATATCATACCTGTACATCATGTAGTGTGTTGATTGATTCACTTCCTGCAGCCGTCTTTGAGTTGTCACTTGAGGATCGACCCTGCTGGGCCTTGTGGCCACCATCTCGCGGCAGACGTGGTATCACTTTGCCATAGTAACGTGTCAATAGACAGTGCCTCAGAGCTTCCCCCTAAAATATTACAGTATGTGTTGTCTCTCGAGACCAGCATCATATATACTGTGCATCAATTCAAACTGATGATCAGTACCATACTTTAATTCACACATCTATTCATACTTACAACACGTTGCAAGTGTATATTAGGTCAAATCTGATCTGATACTACATTTACCAGCCCAATTTGCTACAAAATCCATTTAAATGTTAGACATTTTTACTGGCACATTTTTCTGTTCACAATTTGTAAGATAAGTAGAAGAAATTCCTTCATTGCTATATCATTATCAGGAATACATCTTTTAAAAGTCATCTCGTTCATATGAGACTCTTTAAATAAATATTTGGCCCTACTTAAATCAATGAACATATGTAAAAATGAGGTACAAGTCACAGTCATCAATGGCCTAAAGATGCTCAGGATCTTATGGTGACAGACAAATTTATGTATGTCTTGTCCTTTCTGTTGTTCTATCTGGTAACTTTTATCAGCTAGTACCATACACACCAAAATTATTTGATCTTCAAAATTTCTTAAAAAGAGACTCAAGCCTCTGTTTGGCCTCGAATCATTGAAAGTTTTATAAAGGCTAAAGCTAAATATCTTCATCCATTATATCAATACTTCAGAAATAACCTAGAATTGTTTGAAAGAAATGATTATCACAGTTAATGAATCACAAATGAAAAAATAATACTGAAGCAAACATACAAAATGGCAGAGCTAAATACAGAACTGTATATAAAGGTACCAAATCTGTGTGATCTGATGTGCATAATGGTTTGTCAGTAACAATCTTTTATGTTGAATACTCAATTTGTAGTCCAAGCTTCATTTTTCCTTGTTAAATTCCACCTTTACTGTGTCAAAACGGATCAGAACAGCAATTACATGAATGAATTGATAAAAATATCAAAACTAGCAATAAAACATGGGAAGGGGTATTTTTAGTTAACAGAACTAAGTACTAAATATTACTCAATTTCGACTTTCTTTATTTCTAAATATTTCTCGATCGAATCATTTATCCGCATGTTCTACATACAATTATGCATCAGATAAAACAGGTTTTTAAGATGAAAAATTTCATGCAACTGATCATTTGCAAAATAATATTTCATGTAAATAATAAAAATGATTTAGAGTAAAGCTACAATGAATACTGATCAGACTGGCATCTATTACAACAAAATGCTAAATAGATATGCAGGGTCTTTTTTATCCAGACAATTACAGAATTCTGATACATTATATATATATATATCGCAAAAATTGCCAACACATGTAACTGTAATGTTGAGAAATTCTGCTGCTAAAATCACTTCTTAAAATTCAATTCTTTCATTATGGGAGAATGGAAAATAAACTGAAAATTTATGATGAAAAAATCCAAGATACTATTTTTGAAGTTCTTATGGCATGGAATAAAACTGGCCATAGGACTTAAAAAACAGCTACCATATTGATCTAGCAATAAGCCCATGTCTAGTAAATACCAACAAATATTATATCAACGTCTTTGATAAGCCCATCCCTTGACTTTGATTCACTGTTAATGTGTAAGACCTATGGGCTCATTATAGGGTTATTACTGTATCCTCAAAGACCCGACAATACTGTTAATGTGTACAACCCATGGGCTCATCATAGGGTTATTACTGTATCACCAAAGATCCAACATTGTTTAAGGGACACTTTTTGAAATCTAAAATTTCAAAATTTCACTAACTTATACTCGGTATAATGATGTTAAAAAAAGGAATCTAACTGCATCTACTGTTATGTCCTAGGACTCATCAGTGATCTTGAATTGTTGACACCTACAAAGTGACTGAGGAAACTCAAAAAAGGTTGAAAGAAACGTTAAAATCTCAAATCTCAAAAGTCAATATTCAACATTCAATAAATTTTGTAATTTTAATATAGGATGACTTAAAAAGAAAAACATCAAGGACATGCATTTATTCTGGGTTGTGCCACTATTCAAATGAAATAAGATGTGGAATACAGCTTAAAGCAAAGATTCAGCAGAATAAGAGCTGCTGACCATGTGTTGGTAGGATACACAAAGAGTAGCTGTCCTGATTTTTTACTGTATCACTGACAAGTCCAAGTAACAATGCTGCTGTATATTATGAAGTATATGTTACAGTGTAGTCCAAACTTTACATGAGTTAGTGTTAGGCAGTTGTGGGACCAATACCACAGTTGTCGGTCAAGTCATTATATCAATACTACAATATTCCTGGTAAGGGTGTTTTACTTGAAACCTTTGTTGATGAAATCTTAAATAATTTTTTTACACTAATAATCAATAATGAAGTAAATATTGATTTTGATGTTAATACTAAGGTTAAATCTGAACCCAAGAATATTTAAATACTTCCTTCTGAAACAAATCATTATATTGTTCAAACATATCTTTTAATATTCTTATCAATTGTAAATCTCAACTACATTATGATTTCTAAGAAATAACATTAAATTTCCATGTCCACCATACTGCTAATTACAAATAGTGTAAGAACTACATGTAAAGCAGAAAAAAGCCTGAAATCCACAGTTCAGAAGGGCAAAGAAGGAAGAGACCCATAGGGACTGCATCGCTCACCTGGATCTCAATGCCCAGCAATGTTATACATGCCTATAGGTTGGCTATTTAAAATATTTCCTAATTAAAGCTCAGTCACTTAATCCCTTTGTTGAGATAGGGATCTAAACTAATTTCAAATACATCTCCTCTTAATAAATTTGCTCCATTTCCCTTTTGGGCCCAGCACTTTTTGCTCCAAGCGGCCCTGAGATCCATCATTTATAAAAAAATTGATTTCCCCTCACTAAAAGATGCTTTTGACCAAATTTTGGCAAAATCCAATCATTTCTACAAGAGGAGTAGGATTATAAAAACTAGGTCAGGATACACCTTTTATACAATATAAGTTCCCATTCCTTTAACAATGCTTCTGACCAAAATTTGTTCAAAATCCCTTCAGCCATTCATAACTAGTAGTGTTTTGCAGAAAAAGTTGACAGATGCAGACAAATAACTGATGCCACAGAATCCCTAAAGCTCACTTGGCCCTTTGGGCCAGATGAGCTAAAAATAATACTGAAAAAGAGAAATTTTGATAAAAAAAATACATGTACATCTAACAGGGTGTAAAGTAACTAAAGGTGACAATTAGATGGAATGTCTATATGGGAAAGGAAACATTAAGAACTAAACACCAAAATAAAATCAATTAGATAAGACTGTACATACTTCTAGCTCTGGTGGAACCAAGATTGTGTGTTGGAACGGTATTACATTGTAGTTAAGACATGCTGCAGCATTTCATCAGTTATGTGTGCCAAGCTTTCCATACAATTGTGCTCAAAACTGGTTTTAATCTGATCCAAATTCAAGTTTGCATCAAGTCAACTTGAAAATCTATGCTGTATGGAGTTTGTTATTTTTTTAATATGATCAGTATTTACAGGTGCAAGAGTCATAAAAGTTCGAAAGAATCAAAACATATTGATTTCAGTTTCCATCAAAAGGACTGAACTATTGATGTCTACTGGTTACTGGGCATGCGGTAACCAGGGACAGAAGACTGCCTCTTCATTTGTCACACCAGAATTGGAAGCATAATAAAATCCTTGCAGATATAGCCTACATGAATATTTAACTGATCCACCAAAAATGCTCTACACATGCAGTTACGTTGTGACCTTTTTAGTATCTTACATATACTGTACGTGTCCTCAGTCAAGTAAGTCCTTGTCCTCTAAGAGGATTATTTGTCAAATGTTCTTGAAGCAATCTTGTTTTAATGATCAAGTTACCTTGCTCTCTATCATCTAAGTAACTTTGTTTAATAAATTATCCACATTATCAACCTCATACCATTGCCTTGTTAGTAACCTAGACTACAACCTTGTCAACAATAACTGTGTCCTAAATGATTTTGAATGTAATCACACAGTCTTGAAAATAATCTCTATCCTTTTAATATTCTTAATAGTAAAGCACACACTATCTTGACAAAAATTTGTGCCCTCTAAATGTCCCTGAATTTTAATCACACAGCCTTGATATAAATCTGTCTGCTAAATGACCTTGAATGTAAATCACACGCTATTTTGACAACAAGCTGTGTCCTCTAAATATCCTTTAAGAAAATCATACACCATCTTGACAACACTATTTGTCCTCTAAACGAACTTGGAAGTAATTTACACACAGCCTGACAACAACTTTTGTACTCTAAATGTCCTTGACTATAAATCTCCCAGTCTAGACAAAAACCTGTGTCCTCTAAATGTCCTTGAATGTAATCAGTCATCATTAAGTCTGTTTTGTCTCTTTGCCATCATTTTGTTACACATCAACCAAGTCCACTTTTACCTGTTACTATATGCAGGCACTGTTTCAGCAGTATCTAAACATCTAATATCTCAATCCTTATATTAGCAGGTCTAATCAGGCAAATACTAAGATTTTGCATCATGTTCCTATCAACTCTGTAAACTTGAATTGACCTTAGCTATTGATGATGATCTCTAATAGCTGGCAGAAGTAGGGAGTGTTGATGATAGAATGATGATAAATTTACTTGGTTGATGTATATATGGCAATGAAGGTCATGGTCACTGTTAATATCACCGTTACATATCTTACCCTTCTGTGGTCATCAAGATCCTTTTTACCCAAAGCCTTCACATCCACCTTGAGTAAGCCATAGTAAACAAGAAGTGACAAGGGTCAAATCAGGGTCAAATTAGTGCAAGTAGCCAAAACCATGATGGTGATCGGGGGGAAATAGGGGTAAACCAGTTCAGTGAGTTAAACTAGCATAAAGTTATTATTACTATGATAATATTCTTTAAAAAATGTTCAAAAGGCATCAACAAAGATGGTTAGGTTAAGGGTTGATTAACAACTGTACTAAAAGGACATTTTGTCATCGTACTGGAAAAGGTCAAATTAGTAAAATAAGACAATGAGAGTACAGTTTGACCTTTGAACTTTAAGGTTGAAGTATACTGCACTTATGATAAAGTTAAATTGACCTCATTTTGCAGAAGAAAATAAATGAAACTAAAGATTTCATAGTAGGTGAATAGAATATAATATGACCATGTTTTTTTAAAATGAAAGTGCCATGGATAATGATGTACTAATAAACCAGCGATCACCATTCCCCATTACAAACAAATGCAGCATGGTGAAACACAGAGCATCATATACACAAATTAAGAAATTGAGAAAATCATTAACAATAATCTGAAAACAAGTGGAAACTCAGAGGTGCCAAACTCCTGCTCTTGCCAGCATGATAGCAGTGTTCATAGTGGTACATTCAGGGCCATGTAGTCACGTCAATTCAGTCTTTTAGCATGCTCAATCTAGATCTGTTGGAAACAGTGTCTGTTCATACACTAAACCTATAAATCTGTTGTCACACATGGGGTGTCTATTCGTAAACTAAAACTGGATCTAAAGTCACACACATGATGTCTGCATGTACACTAAACCAGGATTTGTTGTCTCACACAGGATTTCTGGGATAACACTAAACCTGAGCCTTATGTCACACACGATATATCTGAGTACACGTCATCTAGATGTGTTGTCACACACGATATCTGTGAGTTCACAAAATCTAGATGTGTTGTCACACAGAGACTGTCTGTGAGTACACAAAATCTAGATGTGTTGTCACACAGAGACTGTCTGTGAGTACACATAATCTAGATGTGTTGTCACACAGAGACTGTCTGTGAGTACACATAACCTAGATGTGTTGTCACACAGAGACTGTCTGTGAGTACACATAATCTAGATGTGTTGTCACACAGAGACTGTCTGTGAGTACACTTAACCTAGATGTGTTGTCACACAGAGACTGTCTGTGAGTACACATAACCTAGATGTGTTGTCACACACTTATCCGTGAGTACACATAACCTAGATGTGTTGTCACACACTTATCTGTGAGTACATATAACCTAGATGTGTTGTCACACACTTATCTGTGAGTACACATAACCTAGATGTGTTGTCACACAGAGACTGTCTGTGAACACACATAACCTAGATGTGTAAAGAAACATAAGGTGTATGCGATAAAAATATAATTTGTTTTAAGACTTAAACATCAAACATTTTTTCATTTTTCTACATCTTGTATTATTGTCAATGTGAATGCAATCTGGGTGACTAATAAATAAAATGTTTATTTGGACACCATGATTTTCCTTCTATCACCCAGACTGTATTCATATTGAAAATGAACACAATCTGCTGACATTTCAATATTTATTACATTTCAGATTTTTTTAACAAATCATAATTTTCACTGTATGTTTATTTGCTGGAAGAACTGCATCAAGACTAATGTCAAGCTAATGGGGGGGGGGGGGGGGGGGCTCTAATCCAAAACATGAATATGATATCATAAATGGATATAACTACACTGAACTGAGTAAAGTACAGTATATTTAGTTTCAATTAACAAAATTCTTTCCATGAGTAATATTACAGTATTTCTATCACAATCCATGAAAACTGGCTGAATGTACCACTATGAGTCCAAATAAAGGGTAGCAAATCTCAATATGAAGGTATCTCTATGATGATAAGACCAATGCTGGAATTATTCTTTTAAACTTAAACACTCATCAAAATATTGTGTTCTAGCTCTGATTAAATATTGTCTAAAAAATATAGCTGATTATTACACTAATCAAAAGATCCTGAAAAAATGATATTTTTTTGTAGAATGATTTTTTGTTAAGTTTTAACGATTCTTATAAATGATGTTTTCATGAATTAATTGATGAATTAATTACCAGAAATCAGAATTTCATTTACTAAATGACATTACTTAAAAGAGTAAATGGCCAAATACTGCTCAACGTCTATATGGTTAAAATTCATTGTTACATATTAGGGCTTTCATCAGTATAAATATTCCATTCAACTTTATTACCTTTCAGTACATATTTATCCATTATTGAATGTACCAATAAAAAATTGAAATTAATAAACCAATCCTTTGTCAATAAAAATTAAAATTCCATAAATAGAACTCTGAGGTCATAATTTATGTGCATATTTCAGATTACAAAAATATTAATATTATGAAAGTAGCCTGGAATACAACAATAAAACAAACATCATATTACTGTGCATTCAACAAACAGTGGATCATCTAAGATCTTTATGTACTCTTATTTGGGAATCATAATTCAGATCTTAAAGCTGTTATAGTGCTGAAAAGTTTTTGCTGTATTCAGAAAATATGTAGCAGTATATAACTTCCATACCTCTGGTATCTTGCAGTTAGATATTAGATAATCCACTGTTTATTTATGGATTCACATTTATAAAACCAGATATTAAGTTCTCAAAACTTACAGACACCCATAATTTTTCTATAAATAGCATCCAATCATCAGACAAGCCATCTATGACAGGCCAAAGAAAATATTTCAGGTTCATATAAAAAGAAATCTTGTTGAGCTACCCTATGACAGGTATTTGACTGCTGTGCAATGTGAAGAGGTACAGTAAGTTTACCTTGTCTCCGTATTCATTGTCAATAGTCATCATCTCCCGAAGAGTCTGCAGCACCTTGATACACAACTTGTCCTCTTTTTCTTCCAGTAGACACTCGGTGTGCTTTATCAGTCTGTTCACCAAAATCATACATTCTTTTATAAAATATTGCAAAACTTTGTGAAAAGTGGAAATAACTAAACCTGATATAGATTACGCACATCTACAATGTACAAGGATTATTGCCATAAAATTTTGTGAAAATCCATTCAGTGGTTTAGAAGTAAATGGTACATCATTGAGTTCCAAATGGGGTATAAGTTTCCAAAAGGGGGAGATCACTCAATTCCAAAGGGGCATAAGTTTCCGACAAAAGGATATAATATGACCTGATATAGACTACACACATTTGTAATGTATAAGCATTATTGTCATTCCATTGTTTCATGGAAATCCATTCCATAGTATAGGAGGAGTATCCCCCCCCACCCCACACATACTTTGTTGCAGGTGGTAAACCTAGTTAATTGGTACCCATAAGTATTATAATTTTTTAATTATATTAAGCACCAAGACAGAAAATAAAGTAAATATTTGTGATATTTGATATTTGACATTCAAAACACAAATTAAAACCAGGAACATAATTTATATCAGCAGCTACTTTATCCCTTACCTCGATATGAATCCTCCAATTTCACACTGAGTACCTGGAGGGAAAAGCTGCTCTGGGCAGTGAAGAACATCAACAAGGACAGATAACTCTGCCTGAACTAAAGGTCGCAACTGGTCTTCCAGCAGATCCACAATATCCTAGAAGTCAAAAATTTATCATCAGGTAAGATCAGGTAATTTTATTAATTTATGCATAGCTTCAAATGACCCGATGAAATTTAGATTTTATCAAAGGGAGCCCAGAGTGTAACTGATGTTTACTAGTCTTCCATCAACTGGACAATAGGATGACCAAATGGAATATTCTATATACAGTGACCCTTTCTACCCGACTTGTTTGTTGTTATTTGGAGACACTCTATAATGTTATTGTAGTCACAGTCACAGCAGATAGATGATAGGATGTTCAATTTATAGAGACCCTCTTGTCTTTATGATGTAGACTTGTCTGTTAGAAGTTGTTACCTGGAGACCCTCTATAATGTTACGGTAGTCACGAGAGATCGATGGAATGGACTCTCTCTTCATCAGCCCCACTGTCTTCCATCTCATGGCCGTATTCTGTGTCTTCTGATTCTTCTCAAACAGAAGATTCACCTGGCTGTCCAGATCAACTGGAATGGCTATCCCCCGCATCTTAGCTGTGATAAACAATTGTATAAATTATAACAGAAATAGAGAGACTTCAACTTTTATTCAATTAAGCAAGGTTCACTTATGTACAGTATCACTGAAATTTTAAAATCTTAATGCGAATGGTGATACTCATTATTTCAGGCTGCAAAAAGAGAAAGAGAGCTGAAAAGATACTAAATAAAACAAATTTTAAAATCAAATGATACTGTTTAAACATCTGCAACACTATGCAAGAGAATTATTTTTCAGTTAACAGATGTCTTTTATAAATGAAAACTTTTATAAAAGAAAACTTGCAGTAAGGATGCCTTTTTGAAAAACCGGGTAAAACCAGTGATCATACGACACAAGATAGAACCGGGGTGTCGTAACTCTTAAGATTTTTAATCCTGCTGTTACATGAAATAATTGTATTACATGGACAAGAGTCTGTAACTTACCTATATCTGCCAGTGTTTTGATGCATGTCTCCACATGGAATTTCTGTATGCCAGTAAGCCACTTGCAGTGTGACACACGGAAAGCCCCTTGTAGCAGTCGCACAAAAACTGGCTGTCTGGACTATTACGACAAGACAAAGTTAAATGACAATAACAATCGTTTCTATCAATGAAAACTGTGATGGCATTACCAGCATGTAATCTGAAGTATAAGTATGGTTTCACAAAACAATTTTAGTCCCAAAAAAAGTGGCCTTAACCATGAAAGATTAAAATGGCAAAATTGGATCTAATTAGCATATTCAACAAACTCAGATGCTCAAAAAAGGTTAAATTCAAAAGCATTTTGGACAACTGAAAAATCTTTCGGCTTTTATTTTTAAACAAAATACAAAAAAAATATGAACAAAAGGAACGTCATTTCCAGAGAATAAGGTAAACATTATCTGTGTATCTTTTTTTTTCTTTCTTTGTATTAAATTGACATACTTCTATTTTCAATACAATATGGAATAGATGTAGATTACTTGTGAGAGAAGCACAGATACAGCTTAAAACTAGTCTAGCGATATCATATAATGAAAAGTCAAAATGACAACACCAATGCATTAATTGTACTAATCAAGAAAAAAACACAATACACAGAAGCAACTTCATTACAATGTAAGCTTTGTCAGTTCTCTTTATATTTAAAACATAAATAAAGAATAAATGAGATTAATCATATTTAAGAAATTGGGAGCATGGTTTGTGATTTCTTTATTCTTTACTGATTCCCCTTTCAGAAAATATAACTTGGATTTTTTAATTAATACATCTATTATCTGCCTTTAGGCTTTGATCAGGCAAATGCAGTGTTCCTGATTTCAGTAACTCATTTAACGTCTATTTTAATTATATGGCATATGCCAAGTTAATACAAAAAAACCCCAAACAATCAAACAAAATCAAAGAAGAGGCCTACATGGCTTGTATGGCAAATACCCATACACATGTACAATTTCTATAGATTAATTGACCACATTTGACCTAATAGATATGGATCAAGGTCATTAAGTTTTTACTTTCAATGCCTTCATAGAAAATTTACCTTTGAATTTTCAAAAAAAAAAAATTCAGAAAGAAAGATGATTAAAAATTTGAGACATCTGATGCTAATATCCTTGAATATATCACAAGGTCAAGGTTTTTATCTCTAACAATAGCACTTGTATTTAGTCCTTTACAATGTTAAATTCAAATCAGTATTATTGAATGCCCTTCATCCAAATATGATGACCAAATTCCTTATAATAAGAATAGTGACACCATGTCATTATTGGCTCAACCTCACTGGCTTTTTAATACTTCCAAGAGATATTGATGATTGCATATTTTCAACAGCTAATCATAGATATGTAAATTCAACCGTTTGCAGTTTTCATCTACCCAAAATACCTAAGGTTAAAATTGCCTTTCTTACACCGAGGATTATAGCTAACACAAAGTTTCTAACCTGCATACAGAAACACAAAATGAAAATTTGAAATAAATCCATAATGAGTTACGAGTTGAGGTGTTTTCTGAGTCTTATTCAGTAAAATGTGTAGATTTTTGCTGAAAATCTAAAGGAATCAAGCATAACAAGAAAAAAGTTAGTACTAATCATTTTAAAGGGCTTTCTAGGAAATCACAAATTTCAAATCATCTCCATGCCTTGTATGTATATAAATAAACACATCATGAAAAGATGGAAGCATGAGCATCAACATGTGTAAATGCATAGTATCATAAGAACTTGTTTTCTGTTAAAGTAAGGGATGGCTATTACTTATTGCAAAACATCAAAATACATAAATTAAAATCAAATGTTCATCAGACGCCTGTATCCAACCTACTGATCTTCTATTTAGTTTCTGATACATGACTTATGAGTAAGGTTGTAGTTTCTGATACATGACTTATGAGAAAAGTTGTAGTAATATGATATGAGTCAAAATGATATAACAGGAAACAGTCATAACCCCTCATAAAATCATATGAAAGAAAAGTTCTCTACATATGTATCAATTTTTTCACTTTCACTTTAAAACATGAGCTGCATTACAACAGACAAACATCCATCCAATTATACAAAACCTTAAAAACATTAAACATTGCCTTTCTCATTTTCTTTCTATTACAGGAAACACTAAATTTAGATGATTTTGAACAAGCTATAGAACTGTTCGTACAATGATTTACAAGACAAATGAGATAACTGATAATAAAACTCATTATCGTCCACTTTATCAGAACATGACCTTTACAGTAACACGTCATTAATACTGTCACTGACAGTTGACATCACTTTATTACCTCATCTTTCAGATCTACTAAAGTCAATGTTATCCATGAACAAGAGGCCTAATCTGGGGCCTGTATGATCACTCCCCTTTTACTTAACCAACTTCTATGCACTTGTAAGTGGTTAACAAATTCATTTAAATAGCATTCTAGCAGAGATACGTAATGAGCTAAATATCAAGACCTCTGATCCTTTGACCTCAAAACTGGGTCAGAATGCTATATATACCTTAGTGTCAAAAATCAGTATATTTATATAATCTTTGTGAGTGATATTAAACACATCACAGCACACAGTTGATAAGTTTCTAGTCATTCAGATTGTTTAATAAACACACAAATTGGTGTCCCTCAACCAATGACCAGACCACAAATAAGGCCAATATTGTTTATATCATTAACAACTAACATCAAACAAGCACTCAGGTAACCTTAAGTTTCATGTTGTATTCCTGTAATTCAGAACAAAGTCATACCATGAGTTGGATTATAATATAAGGGTACATTAAAATCTAATGGGGAGTTAAGATGCAGCGGGGAAAACATAATCTAAATTCAGGAGAGTATATATTGTGATAAAAGAAATGCTGAAGTTGCCAAGTAAAACCACACAACACTGTGACAGAACAAATCAGGCAGACTTACTTTGTTCTACAAAGGGAACAGAAAATAATAGTTGAAATCAGTAAGATATTGTCTGTATGGGTATCTATTGGGTATCCCTAATTTTAATTGGGTCTTACTTACTTTAATGTGTCTATCTACAGCTGTGTCTTAATATAGTAAGAACAGAATATTATGGGACATGTAAAGGACGAAAGACACCACACATTTAAACAATTCAGATGATTACTAATAACCTGTCTATATTTTTAGGGGACAGATTACAAGCGAGGAACATATGTCCAATTGAATAATTTTGCTGGTTGATCAATTTCTCTGCAAATTAAAAAAGTTTTTAAAAAATCAGGTAAGTGAAAAATGGCATTAAATGATTCAGCAAATTCTGTGTTAACAATATCGTGCACAAAAGATTGGTTAGAAGTGCATATTAACAGAATAAATGTAGAGGTAATCAACAGAAGTACATTTATGTTGAAAGTGTTTCTCTACGACTATTTGTTATAATAAAGTATATCTTTCTAGGGTAAACAGTTTCTACTCAATCTAGCAGATAAAATAACCTTGATCACTTAACTTACAAACTAGCTATCAAAATACATTGATACGTATCAATCATGCTGCTTTAAAATATGAGAAATATGTTGAATTTCCATTCTTCAAGATAACGTCCATTCAAATATATCCAATATCTGGTTGTTTAATATCTCATTTCATATAATTAGACTTTAGATTTTGATCATTATGAATGCTATTTAACATGTATTTTTAACATGTAACATTTTTTGCAAAAGTTTCATCTTTATGGTTGGAACAAGATACTGTTCAGGATTAAAATTCTGTTATGTTCAACCTAAAGTATCCTCCAGTTCTTCAAGAAAAATCCATGCTGCCAAAACTGCGAAAAAACCAGCACGAAACGTTCCTCACACTCGCTAGAGTTAAGGCCAGGTTAAGTACAACAGTTACACAGTCTAACAGGTGATCTACACATCACCTTACAAATGCACAGATCAACAATTTTGTGCAATATCTAACACTCAAATTATTCTTCTTAAAATGTGTACATCAACCTTCTGATGTGGTTCCTTTACCATGTATGATGAACAGCTAGAAGATTACTGGATCATATCAGAATGTCTTCAGTGACTCTGGAGTGTGTATAAAGTCTTACTAGATACAGTTCTCAATCAACTTATTCAACATAACAACTAGACCCTGTAGCTTTCTCTCCAAACCACGCAATCAATATATTGCTTGCTCTTTAAAACAATAAAATGTTTCTTGCTCTCTAAAACCATAAAATGTTGCTTGCTCTCTGAAACCATACATAAAGGTTACTTAACTATACCACATAACATAAATTGCCCAAATAAGTAATACAATGTCACTTGCTCATCCACACCAACTTACTATCTAACTTGTATGATATCCTACGTGAAGTCTCACCATCCACTTACCTGATGAAAACTATAGCTGACACATCAGCCATATTACCAAGCGTGACATTGTATCAAGATCTCTCCAGATGTGTACTTGCTCTCTACCAAACCACATCACACAAAATAAGTCACTGAGTCTTATTCTTTAGCTTTTCTCCACTATGTTCTTTCTTCTTGAGACCTTCATGTGTTATATACTTGCTGCGCCCCTCTTAAGACCTTCATGTGTTATATACTTGCTGCGCCCCTCTTAAGACCTTCATGTGTTATATACTTGCTGCGCCCCTCTTCAGACCTTCATGTGTTATATACTTGCTGCGCCCCTCTTAAGACCTTCATGTGTTATATACTTGCTGCGCCCCTCTTCAGACCTTCATGTGTTATATACTTGCTGCGCCCCTCTTAAGACCTTCATGTGTTATAATGCTTGCTGCGCCCCTCTTGAGACCCTGTGTTATATTCTACATGCATCCTAAAGTTGTAAGAGATAAATATGACGTATTTGAACCTTGATTTTTCACTTACTATACCTACCATTCAGATATGACCCAGTTAATACCTTGTTCATGGCAATACATTGGGTAAGAAAGCATAGCAGAAGACTGTTTCTATACAGACAAGCGTATAGAAGGTCAATTCATAATATTACCTGGAGGTGAGTTGTTTGGTCGGAGAATGGTGAGCTGAAGAAAGTGTGAATGACGTTCATCACTATTTCTGTCACATAGCTTTCTAACACTGTGTCTGCATGGCGTCGATCATGGGTTGCTGTTGACACCTAATATGTAAGAGTAGAATAGAGAGGCATAATTTACGCAAAATGCTCCAGCAGCTTGCTTTGAATTGATCAAATACGTCCTAAAGTTGACATACATAAAAAATTTCTCCATTTAAATAAATAAATTTTCCCCCTTTCTTAATTGCATAACATGTAAGTTTCGGCTATTTAACAACTCTAATTAAAAAGCCCTTTTTTCAGCATTTGTCATTTTCATCATAATGTTAAATAGTGAAAAGAAAAAAGATATTTTTTACAAATTCATCTGTTCAAAGTCTTTCCCCTCAATCACAAGAACTAAAGAGCATTCACTCTCTGTAATTATCTCACTTTCTTGCAATATATGTCACACTGTCAGAGTCTATCACAGGGCCCTAAATTTTTATGTTGAACATCTCGGCTATCTTCGGACAAGCCAACTCCCCCGTTTGAGTAAGAGTTTGGGGCTTAGCACGCTGTGCTGACTGAAGATTAAATGCAATATAAAATCGGTGTAGAAACTAACTGTGCCCATATCTGTTAGGAAGTTCTCAAACAGGGTCCACATGTGATTGCTGGTGTAGATTTCCTTCATCTCCACCTCCGTGTCAATATAACAGTGATTCAGAAAGTTAATGTATGCACTTTTCACCTGAAATGACACATTATGAATCATACTAAAAACATGTCAAAAAGTTATAAAGATTTACTTCTTTAACAGAAATAAAGGCATGGAAGACCTTCAGTTTTGATGTACCAGTTGTTCATGAGTTGGGAAACTCATTGTATCAGAAGCACATGGCAATGTACAAGGTTTAAGTCTGGAATATACTTAGGTCACTGAAGACTGAAACTTTTACCATACAAAATAAATCATTGGAATTCAACAGTTGTCTTTTGTAGCTCTGACAATGCGTTTAATAGTATAGATAAACTGTAGTTGTGAAATCATGTATGTTACCTCCGGGATACAGTCCTTGTCTGTGACAACTCTGACAATGTCATCAAGTGGGAGGAGGGAGTGACATTTGATCTCTGTGTACACATTCTTGCCCTCAGTACAGAGAGCCAGCAACTGTACCAGGTTGATGTGGTAGACAAGGGGGCTCATCTGGTCTGTTCTGTATCGCTCAGACTTCATTAGATCTAGGAAGGCCTCAAATGATGCTCGGTCATTGTAAAACAGGAGGACTTCCTCACCAGCATTCACCAGCTATTTCAGACGAGAAAAATCACACGTTTTCTCTTAGTCATGAACAGATTTTCCGTGGTTCTCTTTTCAATCAAAATATTCACATTTTGATAATTATTTGTTCGATAAAACAATTTGATCATACACATTTAAAATGTGACAACACTAAAATGGAATGCATTTGATGTATTTCCAGAAAGTCTTTACCTGAGATAACAATATTGTGTTTTTGATGCATGTTCCATTATGAACACTACTTGGAGAAATAGCATTCAGAAGGCTATAAATACAACATTACCCACACTAAAAATTTCACTTCTCATTCTGCTTTATGTACTGTTATTTTGTGGCACTTCTATAAATGGGCAGGTTTTGTTGATATAAGAATAACACCTAATTAAAATTGAGCAATTTCAACTAGATCTCGCTTACAAAACTTTAAAATTTAAATTCACCATCATCCTGGCCTATGACAGTTCCAACATGTCTAGACTTCAGACATCACAGCCAAATTGAATAAAAAACTTACCTCTGCCATGACGAGATCCTGACATTTCTTGATATATTCTCCCTCCGTCTTAACGAGAGTCTGAAGGAACTTGAGGTATGGTACATGTCTGCCATGCGTCTCTATACAGTGGACAAAGTGCTGAATAACCCGATCCTGTACTTCGGTACACAAGTTGAGATTATCCTGGAATATCGCCTGCATCGTGCGAGCCTCCAGAAGCTACAAGTAGTCAATTATTTTGTAACCATTCAGTTCATGGTATAAAAGTAACATACACATTTTGTTTATTGTGATGATATTTTGCAATCAGTTTAAAAAAATGAAACAGAAAGCTTTAAGCCAATATAGGATGAAGAGAATATGTTGAAATTTATCATAATACAAATAGATGAACTTAAGGTTTAGAGGAGACACACTGTTTGCTCTTGCCTTGTAGATGTCTAGTAAATCAGTGTTAAATAGGGGAGCAAAGTTTATACATATTTCCCCATTACCAAAACTTTTTCAAGTACAGGCTTTCATAAGGCTATGTTCTAACATCATGAGATGTGTCTGTTCTTTTCAGTGCTACATACCCCTGGGGTGAGGAAGAGGTCAAGACTCTGGTGCAGTAGGCCCTGATTTTGAGGGTTACCCAAACAGAAACTCTGCAGGAATTCATGAGCCAGTCGCATGATCTCATGCATCCGTGTATCATCATTCTGAAATATGAAGTCTGTATATTAACAACAATCACACATAATGCAATATAGTACAAAATGGAATCATTATATGTATAGTTACTGTTATATACGTCATGTGATCAATATCTCAATGCCATTAAATTTTTTAAATGATTTCAAGAAATGAGACATATTGGCAGTGGAAGTTATTATCAAAGTGTTCACAATGGATATTGCTCATTATGAGAAATATATTTTTTTAAAACATTCTATAAACAAATATAATTACAATATTTATCAGTACCTGTTCATACGGTATCTGGAGCAGTTCAAGGATGGCAGAGTGAGCACTCATGTTTCTCAGCAAACGCTGTTCATGTCGTCTTGCTTTTCTTACACCAGGTTCACTTGTATTCTGTACACACAACTTGGTCAGTCTCTGTAATATCTGTGACAAAAATTAAAATCTCAGACATGTAAAGATATCAATCTCACAGGTCTTCTGCTCTGTTCGGCCATTTTACAAATCATATTAAATCTTGTAGAAAAAACTTCATAAAACAAAAATTTTATATCATTCAGCTTATTTCATTCCAGTAATCCTTTTCATTACTCTGGTACCTGTTGTAGGATTAATTGAGTGATTCATAATTTCTATTTCTTAGGTTTCATCTCACATTTAACTACAGACTACCATATGGATTACTTCCACCATTCATATGAATATCATCACTTGACTTGTTTTTAAATAATAAGACACTGTGAAAGAAATAGCATCTTGCAGCATGCTATCAAGCATTTTTTTTCTTTTTTTTTCACTTCGTTTGTCTGATGGGAAAACACAATTATAGTCATTTTTCTCAATTAATTTCAAAGTTTAAATTGACCAAGATTTAGTGAAATCATTACCGTGATATAGTCTGATAGGTTCAGGCCTCAAATTTAACATTTTTGTCACTTGCTGAAAACAGCAAGTGCCTTAAATTTGTACTTGCTAAAATGACTTTTTACTTGCTATTATCGCAAATTTCCATGTTCTAATAATGTGTTTTGTTTTGTGATTTATAATGTATTACTTTGCTTCATCCAATATATATCAACATTATAGAAGAACTGCTTTGTCCCAATATTTACACTTTGAAAATCAAAACTCAAAACAATTCAATTATGTGAAATGTTAGGAATAGACAGGCACTCACAGTTTGCATCTGATGAATCCATTTGCTAAAAAATGCAAGTCATTATTTTTTCTACTTGCAATTCTTGGATTTCTACTTGCAATTAGCCAGTAAAAAGCCTTAAATTTGAGGCCTGAGGTTTATATCCTTGTCATTTAATAGTTTGTAGTGTCAACATACCTCCTTGATACGTTTGTAGTTTTTGCTTGCCTGTTCATCTATAGGAGGACCCAGTTCTAGATCTATGGCTGATCCTTGATCTTTAGATATATTCTGAAAAAAAAAATATCAATACCATCTGATGTAATGTTATATTAATTCCTGACTTTTAAATTTGACAATTATAATACAGCCAAACTTACTAGCTTATATAACTCAAAAAGCAAATTTCCATGCAAATTTTTTTTTTCTTTTTTTATCTTAATTTTTGATGAGTTCAGGCTAAATTTTGGCTTATTAAAATGGCAATTAGATATAACTAATACTTTTGATAAAACTAGGATGTTAATCAAATGTTATGAATTTCCAAACCTCAGCATGCTCAATCTGACTTTCAGACAAATGTCATACCTAGCATGGCTTTGATAATATTAGTGATTATCCGTGACTTACCAGTTGCTGTGGTTTTGCTTTCTTACTAATCTAAAACTCTTTACTTATTTTATTGTAACTTTAAATATATTAGTGGTTTTTTTATTGTTTTATTTTTCAATGCGAACCCATATCGATGGCTGTGTTTTTGCCTTCTTCTTTCCCTCTTTTCCATCTTTGTCCTCCTATAATAAGACGACAATGGAAATCAACACACTGAATGGTAATGATATCATAATGCTAACTCATTTTTATCAGTAAACCTAGAAAAATGTACTCTCTTTTCAAACAATTCATCAAACCACTTTATCTCAGATTTAGACGTAATTTGTCAGACCGGGACTTTCTGCTGGTGTTATAAAAGTCTGAATCGGGATAAGTATAAATAGTACAGCAGTTTGACTTGGCAAGATTGAGGTCATTTGAAATAAAAAATCTCTATAGGAGAAAGAATCTTAACTGCAATAATACTTTCACAACTATGAACATAAGATCACAAGCTAATCAAATGTTATAGTTCAGTGTAAAATGTATTGTATTACCATATGTTCCCATTCTGTATAGATTCAGAGCCTCATGGGAGATTGCCTAACTGACTTATACTCTCTAACATAAAGATATTTTATTAATTCTTTTCTAGACAGACAAAGACTTGTAAGCAGTATTACCATTACATTATTGTAATACCATACAACTAGATCTGACCTTGTCACCACTGCCAGATTCGTTGGCTTTTTTCTTTGGTTTGGGTGTCTCGGCAACAGATTTTGACTTGTAAACCCAGAGCTCTGATTTCTCCACTAAATTCCTTAGGTCTTCCAAGTCTGTTTTGATCTGTTTGTAGTTCTCCACATCAGCTGCTGTCACAAGCAGCTGCACCTAAAACACAACAAGCAAGTAGAATCACTTGGAATTGGATATGTACAAAGTCTTGTCTTTTCTCAAGTCTTCAAACTGAGATGTAAAGGTCCCTGAATTCAGGTAAGATCGGTTTGATGTTAAACACACACAGGCTTGCAGGACTCCCTGTCTCTATAGTGAGATGTTGCAACAGGAATATAAGGAACCCAAAAGAGCACAAGCGGCCCAGGGACCTAAACGCTCACATGAGTGAACTCACAAACTGAAACAATTGGAATGAATGTGTAGTATAGAGAAGAGAAAATGAGGAATGAGACTTGTCCAGGGATGGAAGTTTTACATTCAGACCCACCCATCCTTCAAAAGTATTTGATTCTACAATATCTGGGTATTGAGAATAGTTTTGAAATTTCAGTCATTTTGATCCTTATTAGCCACGCCCATCAGCCCTTTGGGGGTCAACCAGAGAAAAGCACCTTAAGACCATTTCATCCATGAAGAGTATTTGATTCTACAATACTTGATTATTGAGAAGGAGATATCAAAAACTTCATTAAATATGACCCTTTCTGGCAATGCATATCAGCCCCCTTAAGGACTGCAGGATTACTTGTTTTTGCCAAAAACATATATCAACAGAATGCACAAAGTGCCATAAACAAGAACCAAGTAGTTACCTATAAGAGGTCCTGTAAAAATTTCTGTCTGCAACTTATAGGAGACATGAGTAGTTACCTGTTTGAGGGTGAGACTCACTATCTCCTACTTACCTGTTTAAAGGCCTTAAGACTTCCTGTCTTTCACTTAAAACAAGCACAAGGTGGAGTAAATTACCTGTTTGAGGGTAAGACTTACAGTCTCTGGCTTACTTGTTTACAGGCTTGTAAGACTTTCTGTATCGGACTTAAAAAGACACAAGGGTGGAGTAGTTACCTGTTTGAAGGCCTGTAACACTTCCTGTCTCTGACTGAAGTGTCTAAAAAGGAGCTGTAGTGCCCCAGACACCAGGGTAGGGTAGTTGTGCATCACCAGGTTAAGCAGGACTCTCAAGAACATCTTGCCCCCTTGACCATCCAAGTCTAACTCAGCTGTTGTAGAGCTGTAAGAAGCAGACATATAATATAGACTCAAATCACAAGTTATCACAGAATTATAACAAATATACTTATATTTTTAATGGGTCATCACAACACAGAAGTACTGTCTCAAAAGTTGGGGTGGGGAGGTGGAGGGGAGGTGGAAGTGGAGGGTAGGAGGTACTTACTACAGGTTAATGAAATAGTATTGGTTGGTAATTCTACTGATATATATATAGTTTCTTACAAGGCTTGGGTGTATTTAAGCATTGAACTATTACCATATGGTAGTATAAAGTCGATATGAATACAATTTGGTGACACACTATTTATCTGTCACCCAAATTGTATTGATATCGACTGTATACTACCATTTGGTCACAGTTCAATGCTTACAATTACATTCATAAAGATTTTTTTTTATTGCAGCTAATAACATGTTTAAATTTGCTGCTTACCATATCATTGACATCATCAACTTCAAATACCAGAACAGCCAAAATTTTCCAGAAAGAATAATACCGTCCCTAATGCCATCATAGATGACATACAGATTTTGCACAAATTTGATTTTATTTTAGACAAAAATCTGTCAAATTATATTAAATGCTTCCATAAAAATAAGAAATTCATTGCATTAAATTCATTACACATGATGCAATTCCTAAGAAATGCTTGGATGAAATGACCAATTGGATGGCTAGACATGACAATAAGTGTGGTAAAAATAATGATATCTTCCTCTGTTATCTATTTTGAAAAATATACTCTACACCCATGAAATGTTGCATTGGCAAGAACCCTGGGGCTGGTGTCATTAATGTATTACTAGGGAATGTGATCTGCGAGACATGGGTATTTTGAACACATGGTTAATCATGAGATACAATTTGACCGGCAGTAGCGAGGTCTACATTCTGTTTATCAGTAGTTTCCTCACTAGGGAGTGAAATGGTGGACAAAGCTGTACTCAAAGCTTTTTTCTGACAAGAAGAAACATTTCTCATGTAAGACCTTAATGAAGATTCATTTTTGTGAGAGGACATAAACATTATACCTGAAATTGGATTGTATGTATGCAAGCTCTTTTTATTTATGATAACTGGTGGCCATGTTTGTTTACACTGGAGACACTATCAGCTGTATTCATACACTGACCTCATCACTGTAAATTGAAGTATACTGTCTCATATACTACAATTTGTTGTACTAACGACATATAGGCAAATGCAACACATAATATAAATATAACTGGATAAACACTGTTTTCCTCAGCTTCGAATTTTGAAACTTCCAAGGTTGTAACTTACCTGCCTCCAAATATTTCCTCCGCCTGCTGACCTATACTTTCAAGGTCAAGGCCTGTCAAAGTAAACCAATCATGAATTATACGGGTAAACATATGAAAAAAATGAAGACACACAGATTACAAGAAAAAATACTTGTATAAATGATGTACATACAAATATCTTCTATGTACACAATTATAAATTCTTGTCTTTTGGCATGATAATGCTTATAAAATTTTAACAAAATAAAAGATGATTACTCATATTGTATTTTAAAAACTGATCTCTATTTTTGAATCAAACTATAAAACATTCATTTTTTTTAATTCAACAATAAAATGAATATGTTTCCTGATAAGTTGGGCAATTCCAGTAAAAGAAATCTTTCTAGAATTAACTTAAATAGTTAACATTGGAATGTCAAACAGACCATTCAAAGAAGTGATTAAATTTTCATTTCTCAAAATATGTATAAAATAATTTCACAATTTGATAACAAATATTAGTGCAGATTGAAAGCAATAGCTAAATAAGTGATGCATGCAATGTAAACCAAAATAATACACAAACAAACATAAACTGTTATGAAAAAAACATTTCTCAAAACCTACTAGACAACAACTATATATTTAACCAAAAGAAAATATGGCAGCTAGTATCAAACTTCACATTGAAAATAATAAACAAGTAAAGGATGACATAAGAGATGAAATGATACAAACATCAATAATGTATGGACAAATATTGGGATACATTTGGCGTATTATAATATTGAACCATGCTCAACAATCATAAACATATGGTGGTACATTATCGTCAGATACACAAAACTTTTCTATTCAATATACCTAACACAATAAAAGTACCCCAATACCGGGTAAGTCAAACTTATAATCTAGTGAAATGGCAATACTATTCCTCAGTTAGAATGATATGTCTCAGATAATCAAGCAGGTATTTCAGCAGTAGTTCTATCACATTGTGATCTACCAGAGATTTTTTCAATATCAACAAAGAAATCTTTTCTGCATACTTTAAGATGGCAAATGGTATCAAGATAGGACATTATACAAGCAGAGCTTCCTTGTATAGCATGATCAATTTTGTATTTACTCAAGTTAGTGTATTTCTTCCTTGTCTTAGACCACCTGGAAAGTCGTAGAATTTTCTATTACTTCAGTAAAGAATGTATTTTTTCACACCAAATTAATTCCAGCAACTTTCTGCAATATTTTCGTAATACATATGTACATGTACTCTCACTTTCGCAAAGTCAATTCCTCTTCTTGCCTGACACCACAGACAACCTATTATATCAGGCATATATTTTTAAAGAATGAAGCAGAAAGATGGAAACCAAGGATTTAACAAATTAAAACAATTTGAATATCTGATATTGTGTTTACTGCAGATAGATTGTTATTTGTACAAAAAGATGGAGATTTGTGAACAAGGACTAATCAGGACATTGTAGTAGGTATATTATAGGAGGAAGGTTATGGTTAAAGTACACAGAATACGGTCATCTGGATAAATTAAGATACACTAGGCTACTAAATAACAATGTGTGACAGGTATTAAAGAGAAGGTGAAGAGAAGGGAATCAGTTCTCCTAACATTATATTGGAAGTGTTTGTCAAATTTAAACAAACATACATGATCATTACAAAAGGTGAGGTCAAGTCACTATAACTATACGTTAATAAGAATAAATACCAGTAGATGTTTTGAATATTTGAATTTTAAAAATAGGAATTTATACACCTATAGATACTGTGATTTTCTCTCTTTACACATTGTTGTTTTAATTATCTTTCTCTCAAGAACCACACATTGTATTCTCCATGATATGACAGACAATACCAAACTGAGTGAAAATCTTTCAGTCTTAATTCACATTTTTCTTTCATTTGAGCTGTAAAACAATCATAAATCCTTTGGATAATCTTAGATAGAAAGACAAAAGTACTTAAAAAAAGAAAAGAACTTTCCATTTTTTCCCTTTATTTTAGTCCTTATTTCTCAAAGTAAGAATAATCTTTCCATTTTCCTCTAAATTTCTTTGTTCTTATTAAAATAATATCTCAATTTTTCACCATGTATTCTTTTTCTCCTAATTTTCTCAGTTCTTGTTTCTCAAAAGTGAAAATAATTTTTCTATTTTTTTTCTTATTTTCCAAGTCCTTATTCTCAATACTTTTTGCTAACAATGTTCATTGCTGTAGGCTCGTTGAATTTCACTAGGACTGTAAAACTGTTAATCTTAACACATATAAATTTGATGATAAATCCTTTTTCATCCTCATCTACTTAACAAGACAAAATTGATGGATCAGATTGAAAATAAGTTTCATATAAATCAATATATAACAACAAACATAATCATTATAGAGAAATCATTTGATAGAGACTGCAGGAAATATTTGATCCATGTCCCTCTAATGTAAAATCTTTTTTGTTTAAGGAAAAATTTGATTGAATGGCAAGCTAGGCTAACATAAATACTCTATAGATCAAGAATCATTAGGCTCACATAAATACTCGCCAGATCAAGAAATTAGAATCATTAGGGCCACATGAATACTCTATAGATCAAGAATCATTAGGGCCACATAAATACTCGCCAGATCAAGAAATTAGAATCATTAGGGCCACATAAATACTCGCCAGATCAAGAAATTAGAATCATTAGGGCCACATGAATACTCTATAGATCAAGAATCATTAGGGCCACATAAATACTCGCCAGATCAAGAAATTAGAATCATTAGGGCCACATAAATACTCGCCAGATCAAGAAATTAGAATCATTAGGCCCACATAAATACTCTATAGATCAAGAAATTAGAATCATTAGGGCCACATGAATACTCTATAGATCAAGAATCATTAGGGCCACATAAATACTCTATAGATCAAGAAATTAGAATCATTAGGGCCACATAAATACTCACCAGATCAAGAAATTTGAATCATTAGGCCCACATAAATACTCGCCAGATCAAGAAATTAGAATCATTAGGGCCACATAAATACTCGACAGATCAAGAAATTAGAATCATTAGGGCCACATAAATACTCTATAGATCAAGAAATTAGAATCATTAGGGCCACATAAATACTCTATAGATCAAGAAATTAGAATCATTAGGCCCACATAAATACTCGCCAGATCAAGAAATTTGAATCATTAGGCCCACATAAATACTCTATAGATCAAGAAATTAGAATCATTAGGGCCACATAAATACTCGCCAGATCAAGAAATTAGAATCATTAGGGCCACATAAATACTCACCAGATCAAGAAATTTGAATCATTAGGCCCACATAAATACTCGCCAGATCAAGAAATTAGAATCATTAGGGCCACATAAATACTCGACAGATCAAGAAATTAGAATCATTAGGGCCACATAAATACTCTATAGATCAAGAAATTAGAATCATTAGGGCCACATAAATACTCTATAGATCAAGAAATTAGAATCATTAGGCCCACATAAATACTCGCCAGATCAAGAAATTTGAATCATTAGGCCCACATAAATACTCTATAGATCAAGAAATTAGAATATTAGGCCCACATAAATACTCTATAGATCAAGAATCATTAGGGCCACATAAATACTCGCCAGATCAAGAAATTAGCATCATTAGGCCCACATAAATACTCTATAGATCAAGAAATTAGAATCATTAGGGCCACATAAATACTCTATAGATCAAGAAATTAGAATCATTAGGGCCACATAAATACTCTATAGATCAAGAATCATTAGGGCCACATAAATACTCACCAGATCAAGAAATTTGAATCATTAGGCCCACATAAATACTCGCCAGATCAAGAAATTAGAATCATTAGGGCCACATAAATACTCGACAGATCAAGAAATTAGAATCATTAGGGCCACATAAATACTCCATAGATCAAGAAATTAGAATCATTAGGGCCACATAAATACTCTATAGATCAAGAAATTAGAATCATTAGGCCCACATAAATACTCGCCAGATCAAGAAATTTGAATCATTAGGCCCACATAAATACTCTATAGATCAAGAAATTAGAATATTAGGCCCACATAAATACTCTATAGATCAAGAATCATTAGGGCCACATAAATACTCGCCAGATCAAGAAATTAGCATCATTAGGCCCACATAAATACTCTATAGATCAAGAAATTAGAATCATTAGGGCCACATAAATACTCTATAGATCAAGAAATTAGAATCATTAGGGCCACATAAATACTCTATAGATCAAGAATCATTAGGGCCACATAAATACTCTATAGATCAAGAAATTAGAATCATTAGGCCCACATAAATACTCGCCAGATCAAGAAATTAGAATCATTAGGGCCACATAAATACTCTATAGATCAAGAAATTTGAATCATTAGGGCCACATAAATACTCGCCAGATCAAGAAATTAGAATCATTAGGCCCACATAAATACTCGCCAGATCAAGAAATTAGAATCATTAGGGCCACATAAATACTCTATAGATCAAGAAATTAGAATCATTAGGCCCACATAAATACTCGCCAGATCAAGAAATTAGAATCATTAGGGCCACATAAATACTCGCCAGATCAAGAAATTAGAATCATTAGGGCCACATAAATACAAGAATCATTAGGGCCACATAGATCAAGAAATTAGAATCATTAGGGCCACATAAATACTCGCCAGATCAAGAAATTAGATCAAGAAATTAGATCATCATTAGGGCCACATAAATACTCATTATAGATCAAGAAATTAGAATCATTAGGGCCACATAAATACTCTATAGATCAAGAAATTAGAATCATTAGGCCCACATAAATACTCGCCAGATCAAGAAATTAGAATCATTAGGGCCACATAAATACTCGACAGATCAAGAAATTAGAATCATTAGGGCCACATAAATACTCTATAGATCAAGAAATTAGAATCATTAGGGCCACATAAATACTCTATAGATCAAGAAATTTGAATCATTAGGCCCACATAAATACTCGCCAGATCAAGAAATTTGAATCATTAGGCCCACATAAATACTCTATAGATCAAGAAATTAGAATCATTAGGGCCACATAAATACTCGCCAGATCAAGAAATTTGAATCATTAGGCCCACATAAATACTCGCCAGATCAAGAAATTAGAATCATTAGGGCCACATAAATACTCGACAGATCAAGAAATTAGAATCATTAGGGCCACATAAATACTCTATAGATCAAGAAATTAGAATCATTAGGCCCACATAAATACTCTCAAGAAATTAGATCAAGGCCCAAATTAGAATCATTAGGCCCACATAAATACTCGCCAGATCAAGAAATTAGCATCATTAGGCCCACATAAATACTCTATAGATCAAGAAATTAGAATCATTAGGGCCACATAAATACTCTATAGATCAAGAAATTAGAATCATTAGGGCCACATAAATACTCTATAGATCAAGAATCATTAGGGCCACATAAATACTCACCAGATCAAGAAATTTGAATCATTAGGCCCACATAAATACTCGCCAGATCAAGAAATTAGAATCATTAGGGCCACATAAATACTCGACAGATCAAGAAATTAGAATCATTAGGGCCACATAAATACTCCAGATCAAGAAATTAGAATCATTAGGGCCACATAAATACTCTATAGATCAAGAAATTAGAATCATTAGGCCCACATAAATACTCGCCAGATCAAGAAATTTGAATCATTAGGCCCACATAAATACTCTATAGATCAAGAAATTAGAATATTAGGCCCACATAAATACTCTATAGATCAAGAATCATTAGGGCCACATAAATACAGAGAAATTAGAATCATTAGGCCCACATAAATACTCTATAGATCAAGAAATTAGAATCATTAGGGCCACATAAATACTCTATAGATCAAGAAATTAGAATCATTAGGGCCACATAAATACTCTATAGCCACATAAATCAAGAATCATTAGGCCCACATAAATACTCATTTAGAATCATTAGGCCACATAAATACTCTATAGATCAAGAAATTAGAATCATTAGGGCCACATAAATACTCGCCAGATCAAGAAATTAGAATCATTAGGCCCACATAAATACTCGCCAGATCAAGAAATTAGAATCATTAGGGCCACATAAATACTCTATAGATCAAGAAATTAGAATCATTAGGGCCACATAAATACTCGCCAGATCAAGAAATTAGAATCATTAGGCCCACATAAATACTCGCCAGATCAAGAAATTAGAATCATTAGGCCCACATAAATACTCGCCAGATCAAGAAATTAGAATCATTAGGCCCACATAAATACTCACCAGATCAAGAAATTAGAATCATTAGGGCCACATAAATACTCGCCAGATCAAGAAATTAGAATCATTAGGCCCACATAAATACTCGACAGATCAAGAAATTTGAATCATTAGGCCCACATAAATACTCACCAGATCAAGAAATTAGAATCATTAGGCCCACATAAATACTCGCCAGATCAAGAAATTAGAATCATTAGGCCCACATAAATACTCGCCAGATCAAGAAATTAGAATCATTAGGCCCACATAAATACTCACCAGATCAAGAAATTAGAATCATTAGGGCCACATAAACACTCGCCAGATCAAGAAATTAGAATCATTAGGCCCACATAAATACTCGCCAGATCAAGAAATTAGAATCATTAGGGCCACATAAATACTCGCCAGATCAAGAAATTAGAATCATTAGGCCCACATAAATACTCGCCAGATCAAGAAATTAGAATCATTAGGGCCACATAAATACTCTATAGATCAAGAAATTTGAATCATTAGGGCCACATAAATACTCGCCAGATCAAGAAATTAGAATCATTAGGCCCACATAAATACTCGCCAGATCATTAGAATCATTAGGCCCACATAAAAATTTGAATCATTAGGGCCACATAAATACTCGCCAGATCAAGAAATTAGAATCATTAGGCCCACATAAATACTCGCCAGATCAAGAAATTAGAATCATTAGGCCCACATAAATACTCGCCAGATCAAGAAATTAGAATCATTAGGCCCACATAAATACTCGACAGATCAAGAAATTTGAATCATTAGGCCCACATAAATACTCGCCAGATCAAGAAATTAGAATCATTAGGCCCACATAAATACTCGCCAGATCAAGAATCATTAGGGATACATTTGTTAATTTAGTAATAGGGTACCACCAATGAAGTCTAATAACTACAGACTCTACAAATCTCTCATCTCATCATGACATGATCAAAGTACTACAAAATTCTATAAACCTAACCAATGTCCGCTGGTGTGCCTTTTTGGGTTAATAAGGGAATGGGCCTTTTTAGGTCAATAGGGGAACACATTCGCTGTGAAAATCATATTTTTAATGTTTCTAATTGTTTTTGTAGTTACTCATATTTCTTTTTCCCAATAGTTCATTTCTTTTCCCCATCCCGAAAAAAAGGGACCCACTTCATATCAACCAAAAAAAGTTTTGTTTGGAGAATGTTATTAACACATTATGTGGACAAATAGCTTGTTATACAGATGGTAGGAGGGAAGAATGGCTAGTATGTAATATACACTATACAACTGGGATAATGTACAGACTCACAACAATGATAATGGGATGCAAAAATAAAAAATTTAGTATGACACTGGGTTATATACGGGTGGTGCCAACAGACAGCCATTCTTTTAAACTAAACCCACTGAGCTCATCCTCATCGCTGCTGTTGATCCAGGGTTGTTGTTCAATTTGACTTTTGAACATGGAGAGAATCCAAGTTAAACGGTAGTCCAAACGTACATGCATTAAATACTGAAAAAGATGAACAGGGAACATACAGGGCACACACAGATAAATACATATGGAAGTAGCAACTGCTACTAGGTTGATTGATAGTAATTAGGGTAGGTCCCAGACGCTACCAATACAGTGTAGGTTATTAAAGTTCAATCTACATACTATGTTATAAGTAGATTACTGCTCAGGCAAACATACTCTCAAATGAATCGCCATGCTGTTAGTGTAACTAGATTAGAATCCAATCAATGCATCAGAATTTTTATGATGCCCCTGTTGATCATATCAGAAGATCTGGTATTAATGCTTTGATCATACTGTAACGATTACAATATTCAAATTATCACTTAACATTTTGAAAGCAGTTACAAATAACATTCAAAATGTTTTTCATTAACACTGAATTTTTTTAAAAACAAAATCCAAAATGCAAATCAACCCAAATGCACAACGTAATGTGATTTTAAATGATCATGTTAATTCCAGACCCACCATATAAGGAAACAACAAAAGGCACTAATAATGAGGCAGACATTGGTTCTCTATACATGGTGTATCCAGAGTTTGCCTACTACCACCAGCTGTTGTATGTGTAAGCAGTAGTACAGCTGTGACTTTGCGTGCACGGTGACAGGAATCAGGATCATCTATCTACTACAGAACACCCACTCCACTAGTGTACCTTATATACTGTGGGTTTTAATAGCTGTGAGGCAGTCTTACACTGGGTTATTTCCCTTGTGATATTCTGTCATTTCTTGTTCTTTAACATTCTTTTTTATTAATTTTCCACGAGGGATGAGGGAGACGGGATGATGCTAACAAACTCTTAAAACTAGTACACCCAGATTTATTGAGTTATGTTTATTCACAAAATCAAGTGTCTGCAAAATGGCGATTTTTAAGGAGCCCCACAAAGACCTATGATTTTACAGTATTTTCAAGCTTTTCCGATACTTCAATAAAAACCAATTTGCTAAAGTGAAACTTCCCTATTTACCCTGCAATACATGTACACCCATGTGACCAAGATTAAATTTCTGATTTAAAGTAAGGGATGATCCTATTACAAGGTAATGAAAAATCACTGTATTTATCCAGCAAAAATACCAAGCCAGGTTATAGGCCAACCCTTGTATATTGCTTTTGCTTTCTCATTGTCTTGTGATAAGACCACCCACTGACTCAAAACTAACAATATGCTGCTTTGCTGGAACAAAAGTTCATATATCAAAACCAGCAGAAGATTACTCTTCCACTGGTTGTGTTATAAGAACTTCTATTCTACCGATATTACCAATCTGAAGCGAATGTTCTGAAATAAGCTGCTTTGCTGACTTCAAAACTGTTTACACTTGAATCTAAAACATTACACATGAATCTAAAACAGTTTCAAAGATTTAGCTAACTTTAATGCCTTTCTGGTAAAAAAAGAGGATGTGTAAGGTAGGACAGAGATTTCATGAAGAATCTATCCTTATGAGGCACAGCTATCATAACCCTGATAATCAGGTGAAGTGGGTAATAATAGATAAATGTTAGTTGTTACTATTTAATAACAGGCAACATTAAGTATGGGTTTACAAAGACAAGCTTTGTGAGGTAAAACTTCTTCAAAGCATCAGAATTGTGGCTTTAAAATCAAAACAAAATTTCAAATTTTTTTTTAAAATTCTTTTCAAAATCAACTGCACTGTTGCAAAACATAGAACAGCAAGAAAGAAAACTGTATCTGAAAGAAAAATAAACAGTGTTTAGTATACAAAAGTCTGGGTCCATGCCGTTAAAATTCCAGACCACCAATCAACAAGGCAAACCAATCGCCCCCAACCGGCCACCTTACAAATAGTATCAAGACCACTTAAAGTCCATTACCGTCCTCATCCCGTAAAACATTGTTCTCGTCAAATTCTCCTTTGAAAATGGACAGAAGGCATGTGATACGATAATCCAGTCGCACATCAGTTATAAACTGGAAAGAAAATACAACATGGATGTATACCAACTTTACCATATGTTCTAACAGTGTAAACAACCAATACTACAGACCACCTATTCCAAATAACTTGGTTTCAAACTTAATCCAAATTTTAGTATTTTGACTGGCCTTTCTTAGATGACATTGCCGGCTACTGAAACGCGTTCAAAGATATTATGGAAATTAATCTGATATTTGATATTCTGGAATAAGAAAGAAAACAAATTAAGAAGAAAAGGCTCTAACCATGCAAGTAACATAATACAGCTATTCAGCTATCACTACCCCTAACCCAACCACTACCACCATAACCCGGAAAATGTTTTTTCCTCCTACATGTATTATATAAAAATCATAACCCATTCCTCCTTTATATATCAAATAATTCTTTTTACAGCAGCCTTCCAAAACCCTTCCTATACTGAACAGTTCACACAAAATTAGTCAGCTCCACCCCTCCTCCTTTATTTTTACTGTTCTTGCTAAATTTATCTACCTCACCCCACTCTACCTCATTTCTATTTTTTGAATATCGTAGTTTATCAAGAACAAGTTTACCTCACCATCTCCATTTCTTTTTAACAGTTTTTCAAATTTAACGTCGTATGTCTTACCTGTTGAAAGGGATAACTACTATTTGGTGTTCTATAAACATCAATGGTGCATCATCAAATCAGTGTTAATTAATTAGTAGTAACATTGATTACAAAAACATATCAAAAACTCTTGTGCAACATATTTAAAAGAACTATATTTCCAACAGCTAAATTGTGAAGAATCTATACATTAAAACACATTTGATTATCTACAATAAACTATATACATGTATATTTAAATGCTTAACTATTACCTACACTAAGTACAGTGTACAATTAAATGCTCTAGCTAATCAACACTGAATACTTCATAATTATGTAAATGTACTTCCAACTACTGACACAACCAAATTTTCCAGAAGTATGATTAATAAAAGCAAGGAAGATAACAAATTTCTAATAAAATACTAAATTGTTATTTCTTTCTCTTTCTTTTTTCTTCTTTTGTTTTTTTCTTTTGTGCAAACATAAAATAGTCCATCAGGCTTTTTTAACCAGATGTTGGAGTTCTGGATACATTTCAACTGACTGAGACTCCACTTATTGTGGAGTTCTTCATGACTGTTGTCAAAGAACCAGGCAATTGAGAGATGGGATTGAAATGATCAACAATTCTTTTGAACATCAGAACTACAATAGAGAGGAGATTTTGACCAATTTCTTTAAACCAGCGGAACACATTTTCAGATTATCTATGAACACATCGTTTAATCAATGGTTGTGCTTTGTTGACAAGACATAGCCGTAAACATTATTGTAATATTTTTACTCATCCTAAATTGTCGCAATATCTGTTCAATACATAGGGTGTGGTTGCCAGGTTTTGAAATCTCTGCCGTACCTTCCTTACCATGGAAACTAACATTCAACTTGTTGTTGGCAATAGAATGTTATTTCCATTTTTCAGACTTGCCTGTGTGCTGGAGATATTATCTAGGAGTTTTAAACTACTTTTACTATCTGTGGAGTGCATCCAACAAATTCTCAAGGTAATTGTGGTACAAAATTGGACTCAGTAGCCAATCAAAAAATGGTCATTTGTTTGTACTCTATAATCAAGCTATAACCATATATTTTATCAGGACATCCTGGCATGTCGCTAAATTTTGTAAAAATTGTGAACTTAGGTTATATTTCACATTTATTTCATTATTGTGTAAATATACATGACATAGCAGCTTACTGCTCCAACCAGTATATCATAATAATGCTGCAACTTCAGGAAGAACCATGTGATTAAATTTTATCAATTTTTTTTCAGGAAATTGCTTTTAAATTATTTATCTAAGAGGGCATATCAGCTTTATCATTTCGTCATTAGCTGTAGATACACCAACTTGCCAAGTTCACACAGGTGTTGTACATATAAATGTCCATGTCTGCAGGGTACAGACTTACCTTTAGTATTTCAATGATTTTTAGCTTGGTGTCCATAACAAGAGTATCAGCCTCGGCTGCATCACCATTGCCTCGTGTGGAGATCACATTGGAAATAGCTTTATCAGGACCTGTTCAATACAAAATTCTCTATCAATATCTTATTGGGTATCACTATGCTAAAGTCTCACTTTCTATCCATATCACATTGGATGAGGCATTATCAGACCTGTTCATAACAACATTCTCTATTATCAAGACATTATTTGGAATAGCTTGTCAGGGCCTTGTCAATACAAAATTCTTTCAGGACTTAACATTCACTGGACATAATATTGTCAGAGCTTGGTCAGTATAAAAATTTCTATTCATATCACATTTGAGACAGCTTTGGATGTTTTGCAGAATTTACTGTTCACATAGATGTTAAATAATTTTTCAATTGACACCAAGGGGGGAAATAATCAGGATGAATAAGAGAAAGTAACATGTTCCATATTATGAGAGTGGTTTACAACTGTGTTTCACTTAACAGGAATGTCTTCAATTGCAGTGTCCTGTCTATCTCTCAATATTAGGCTGTCATGAAAAAAACCAAATAGTTTAGCAAAAAGGGGCAGTGATTTCAAAAATATTGACAAAAGGGATGAAATCAGATTTATGTATAATATTATAAATCTATATCTAAGAAATCTGGTTACCATGGTCACTGAGGGAGACAGGTTGCCTCACTTTACCAACACCGTGTATTTCCTTCTCTGGTGCAAAATCCAGGATGTTGAGAAGAGTTTTGGTAAGGCGGAGGAGATTACTGAATGAGTAAAATCCAAAGTAGATCAGTTGCTTAGCCAAATTCACCACCTAAAACAGGAAATTGTAAAGTCGGTTCACCATAGTAAATTAAGAACTTGTGGTCAAATTCACCACCTAAAACAGGAAAATGTAAAGTCAGTTCACCATACTATATCAGGAAGTTGTGAAGTCAGTTCACTATACTATGTCAGAAAGATGTGGTCAAATTCACCACCTAAAACAGGAAAATGTACAGTCAGTTCACCATACTATGTCAGGAAGTTGTTAAGTCAGTTCACTATACTATGTCAGAAAGATGTGGTCAAAAGCACCACCTAAAACAGGAAAATGTAAAGTCAGTTCACCATACTATATCAGGAAGTTGTGAAGTCAGTTCACTATACTATGTCAGAAAGATGTGGTCAAATGCACCACCTAAAACAGGAAAATGTAAAGTCAGTTCACCATACTATATCAGGAAGTTGTGAAGTCAGTTCACTATACTATGTCAGAAAGATGTGGTCAAATTCACCACCTAAAACAGGAAAATGTACAGTCAGTTCACCATACTATGTCAGGAAGTTGTAAAGTTAGTTCACTATACTATGTCAGAAAGTTGTGACTACATTCACCACCTAAAACAGGAAAATGCTAAATATAAAATCAGAAAGTTGGATTCAATTCATCCCAATAAAACAGGAAGTGATATCATCAATTCACTACACCAAAACAGGAAGTGGTATAGTCAATTTCCAACTTTAAAACAGGAAGTGATATTATCAATTCACTACACCAAAACAGAAAGTGGTATAGTCAATTCCAACTTTAAATCAGGGACTCATACAGCCAATTCATCCCAATAAAACAGGAAGTGATATTATCAATTCACTACACCAAAACAGGAAGTGGTATAGTCAATTCCAACTTTAAAACAGGAAATCATACAGCCAATTCATCACAGTAAAACTAAAACAAGAAGTGGCACAAATAATTCACCACCCTAAATCAGAGAGTGGTTGTCAATTCACATCCAAGACAGGAAGTGGTAGTCAATTCACATCACCAAGACAGGAAGTGGTTGTCAATTCACATCACCAAGACAGGAAGTGGTAGTCAATTCACATCCAAGACAGGAAGTGGTAGTCAATTCACATTACCAAAACAGGAAGTGGTAGTCAATTCACATTACCAAAACAGGAAGTGGTAGTCAATTCACATTACCAAAACAGGAAGTGGTAGTCAATTCACATTACCAAAACAGGAAGTGGTAGTCAATTCACATCACCAAAACAGGAAGTGGTATTGCATATACAGATAACTGTCACAATAAAACAGAATACTGTTCAGTAAATTCACTAGACTAAAACAAGACTTAAAAGTTGTACAGTATAGGAAATCCATAACACTCAAAGAGAGGTGGTATACCCAATTCACAACACTAAAACAAGAAGCAGCAGATCAATTGAAGACACTAAAATGGGAAACAGAATAATTAATTGAAGACTAACAAGAATGAAAACATTGTCAGTTGCTATAATGTATGCTGTCAGATGTGATAATAACATACCACATGCAACTACTCAAGACTCGTCAATTTGATGTAAGCTGAGATCCTTTTCAATTCATGAATTGAAAAGGACTTAAAGCATAACAGAATCAAAAAGTTTTAAAGCTTCAAGGAAATGAAAATCCTCACCTCAAATGTGAGTTTGTTTTGTTTTCTGTCAACAAAGGCACCTTCTTGGGTGACAACATTAAATAGGTAGTCTTCTACAAAGAGGATGGTACGAGAGAATCGAGGTTTCACCTTCTCCTTCTCAGGATCTTTTCCAATGTTGGACTCATAACTAAGAAAATGAAAAAAATATATGTTTTTTAAAAATAAGAAAATTTGCACTATGAAGAATTATGCTAAGCATAAAGCTATTGAGGAACAATTGAGTTTGAAACCAGGCAAGATTCAATAAAATCCAGTTATTTCTTCAAACAAATCCAAGATCCTCACTGAAAGCAAAGTTTTAGGTGGGCTCTATCAAACATGAGTGAATAATTTATTAAATGGTGGATATTTTCTGAGGGTCAAAAACATCACATAACAAAACAAATCAACATCTACACTTGATAGAAATATACAATTTCAATGTATATATCACATAATCTTCTACAATATGACAGAATTACCATCACATTAATCAACTTCTAAAATATGACACTAGAAAACTATCACAATATGGAAGAGTTTAGGGTTACAAGCCTTGATTTGATACAAGAAACGATGAATTGTCAGCCTACTTACAGTATACTTGACAATCTACTGTGAAACTACTAACAGCAGTAAGACACCAAGGCAATGTTGGCAGGTGTGATATTGTTAGTAAACATGTACAAAACTTCACAAAATAGCAAATAGTCCAATTGTTAAAGAAAAAACACTTATTTTGAAATCATGTTCGAAGCTTTTTGAGGTTCTAATATAAATCATGATTTCTTAACATATAAAAAAATTCAAGATAACTTGAAATTGAGAATATGGATAAAATGAACACAATTATTAACTAGGACTACTGTTAAGGAAGAAAAGGGTAATATGATGGTTCAGTCAGGATAAATTTAACAAACTTCAGCAATTCTGAACACTTTAAACACTGAAATTAATGGTCGTGTTTCTTTTGTTCAGGAATTAAAATGATACATAATTAAAAAACACATACAAATACAATGAATACACATACATACTTGTGTACCTACTCTCATGCTGACCATATAAAATTCCAATCTAGAGCATTATCAGAATCAATAGCTGCAGTATTTTTATATCTATTCCTTTGTACATAGGAAATAGACTGACATCACACAGGAAGATAATGGCAATTTACGAAGGGGAGGTAATTCAAAACGAAGATATTTTAACTGGGTGTAAGGTTTATAACAGTAGATTTAATTAGTTTCAACTGTGATAAAGTACAGTGTAGACAATGGTGAAGAGTTATCATAGAAAGTAGACAAGTCTGCTTAACAATGATCCCATAGAATCAGAGGATGCTCCAAAACAAGGTATGTCCTCACACTAATTTAATTTCGAACCATTTTATTTCATTGCAGTCATTGCCATAAAAACAAGAGGACATGACCAGATAACAATTTTGAATCGATTTGGCATGAAACTCCCAATATCTTATTTTACTGGTGACGTCAACTTTCTTGCCGCAAAATTTGATGATTTGTACAGATAATGTTTATGAATTTCAAATTAAATAGGCCTGGGCTCATTGGTAAGAAAAGATTGGATTGGTCAATGCCTGGAGCAGTAAATGCCAACTCCTTAAACGAAGAGCATCATTTCACAAAAATCAATTTGGAAAAAATTCAACGAAGTCTTTAAACGTTTCATTCAAGCTGAAGAAGAAGCAGCATTTACGCTCACAACTTAAATGTATTTTGTCAATAGGAGTGAAGCAAGTTATTGGGTGGAGCATGTGTTTTGTCCATGCTACCTACTTCTCTGACTTCCATGTACTATCATATCTGAAATATTAAGATGCATTCTTCATCAAACTTACAGCATCAGCATTTATGTGTAGAACTGATTATGATGGACACCACTTTTTGTTGTTTATAAATTGTTGCCACAAATTTTATCTACGATGATGCAACAACATGTTTGAGACCTGTCACACATCATCCAACACAACTGCTGTAAATCACCTTGCCCAAGGTCACAATACTAAACAAGAGACCTTTAGAGCAAGCAATATATAGAGAGAGCAATATTCAATATAAAGGTTTTAGGCTAAGCTTTTAAAGTTTCATTAAAAAGAAATTGTGACATTGACAACAGTAAGCCAGTGTCAATATATGCATACCATCAAAACTGTCATTCTATACTAATAATTCTTACCAAGTCATTTCCATAGGAAAATAAATAATGTTTTGCTCATAAACGCAATTTTCCTATCAAAACTATAGTCAACCTTACCTCCTTCAAAGTCATGAAATTCACAATTTTCGCAAAGCACCTTAAAACTCTTCCAAACATGAAAAGCATTTGATTCTACCATATCTGGGTATTGGGAGAAAGATTTTTGAAATTTGAGTCAATCTGAACCTTTTTGGTCCTGTCCCTCAGTCCCTTGGGGTCAGCCAAAATCAGTATATGCATAACATCAAGCTGTCATCCATTGCTCATAATTCTAACCATGTTTGAAATATTTCCATTGGAAATCAAACAAATAATACTAAAAATGTACTTTTCTTATAATAACTAAAGTAAACTTTACCCCCTGCCCAAGGGGAAATGTGAGACCATGGTCTCCAAGGTTTTTCCATTTATTAAGAGCATTTGATTCTGGGTGTTGAAAAAAAGATTTTTGAAAAGCTGAGTCAATTTTACCCCTTTTGGCATGGCCCCTCAGGTCCCTCAGGCCCCTGCATGCTGGGGACCATATAATTCTTTATTTTGGTTCATTTTTGGCCTGGGAAAGTTTTGCAAAATTTCAATGAAATTGGTTAAGGGGTTTTTGAAAAGAAGCAAAAAATGTTGAAAGTTTACAGATGCATGATGCCAAACAAAACTATGTGCATACATCTCAGATTTCACACGGTACGCTGATGCTTTCTGCTTACTGAGCTATTGCAGAAGTCAGTGTGTAACCAACAAAGTACACTAACTGTCCCTATATTATCACAACACCTTACTCCAAAAATCTCTTTTGTATACATGTTGTCTAGGTCACAGTGTATTACTTATGAGGATGTTTCATTGTAAATCTCATCTAGTTTAAACCTTTTAGTTATATAATGAAAAACCTATGTTGGTTAGTAGGTGCTACATGAAACATCACTTTGATAAATTAATTATCAAAATCATCATTAACAACTTCATGATTGTGATGATGACACTTCAAAATACTCACAAATTATTTTCCAACTTAATGTCTGGTTTGTTCTTTTAATGATGTCTGATAAATGTGTGAATAAGGATTGATCAAAGTTCATTTAGCCTTTGTTTTCTTGTCAGTACTACTGGAAGCTTATACCACCAGTGTTTGGACCTATTGAGTAATACAAATTAGAACACTACCACAAAATTTTCCCGTACATGTTGGCCACAGTTTTGATACTTACTCCTCGATTGAGATCTGCGTGGGGATCTCGGACCACAGTCTGGCATACTTGACCGGTTTAATGATTTCCTGTGGATCCCTATCTACATGCATGTGTAACATCAATCTACAGAATGAGGCACGCAGGTCATAAGGCAGAACCTCATCAGAGACACACCTGTAAAGAATTGTCACCAAATTATTCCATCATCTAGGAATGAAGCACAACAACCATAACACACTTACTGGAGAATCCATTCTTTATCAATTTACCCAAAAACCCACGTAATATGCACAGGTTTTCTTTTTTGAGAAAAATAATGTCCAAAGTGGGATGTGTGCACATTTAGTAGCCAAATGATAATCTTTGGAAACACTCACATAGTTACATCTTATTCTCCTTCAAGTCATATATCGCAACAAATTAGTAGCCATGTCTGTTTTCATGTGTAGTGGTGGAAGTTAGCTATCGCTTGCATATACAGATTTTGGGCCTCAATTTATGTAAGCTCGTGTGTTGACGATTTGACAGCGAGACATGCAAGAAAACTTGACTTGCAGGAAGTGTAATTACATGGTTTGGTCATAAATAAGTAGATAATGACTGGTACCTGTTTTCAACACTGAAAACAGGCCTAGTGTGAAGACAAGTGTTTGTAAACGTAAGATAAAGAAATATGGCTTAATTGGGCAGGTAAGTGAATGATAAAGCGTAACTTGTCTGATGTCAAAGAAAACAAACAAAAAGTGCAGAAGCATTAGGCAGTATAGTCACTTGTATAGTACCTATAATTTAATAATTAAAATTGAATTTTTAAGAAAATATTTTCAAGTTTGGACTTACTAATATCTTTGGTCTGACATATGAGGTGAATATTCTGAGAAAGATTTCTTTGTTCCTGGAGATTGATTTTGACTGAATTTTTGGTGTGTGCATTATGCAAGTAGAAGGAATTTTTACTATTTTCAACCCAAAATGTACCTGCACACATTACGTAGGTGAGCATATCACATGGGTTTTTACAGTAAAACTCAAATGGAAAACAAATCTATATCAACACCAATATATTAGAATGATATCTTAATTGATACAAACTTACATAAGAATGAGATTTATCAATTCAAAGCTTAAACGAGAATTATATCTAAATCTATACAAAGATGGCATAAGAAGCAGACCTATATCACTACAAAGCCTGATGTAATTTCATACCAATGTGACATAGAAATAAGACATAAATCAATATATAGGTAAAACCCAAGAATCTGATCAGTATGTCAATACAACACTTACTTGAATATCTTATCTATATCAATATATATGTAAATGTAAAACTTACCTGAGGATCAGATCTATATCCAATTGTTTAGAGAGAGCATTGATGGCTATGTACTGTCTGTCCAGACACATGTGAGAAAACAGATCTAATTGGTGTCTAAAAAAAGATAAAAATGATGTCACAATAACAACTGACGATATTATTAAGGAGCATGAAAACAGACACTCAGACAATTGAAAACATTAATATCGAGAAAAGTTTATGCAAAGCAATGAAACAATACAAGTTCTGTTAATTTTTTATCAAGCCTCTGTTACCTGTAATACACTAAGATGTCCTGGTCCTCAGAGTTCTCACCAAGGCCCTGAGATTCTGCTGCGGTCTCTGCTAGCTCACGTATACTCTTGGTCTTCTTGCCAAGATCCCAAATAAGCATGACCTCCTCCACCTCCTCAATAGTGACAATTGGTTCAGGAGCCGACGTGCCATCTGGGTTCTCTACTTCCATTTCCACTTCCATCTGAGTCTTCTCTAGTCTGTTGTATCAAAAATTTAAAACATTGCAGTCATGTATTTCATATCTAGTCTCTTTTATTGAAGTAGAATTCATTGGATCTTTAAAAACAAGTGAATACTTTTTCTTTCATGAATACTTCTCAGTTCATGTTATCTAGTTTTCTTTGTTAATCATACCATTTCATAACTAAGTGATTTATTCTCATAAATCTGTTCAGAGTTTTTCTCAATTTAAAAACAAAGTGTTTAAACTGAAATTCATTAAAATCATTGGCTTAAATATGAGCAAAGTCCACTAGAGATGGTTGTGAATGATGCATCACTCTCCTGATCCTTATTTTGAAAGAAATATAATAAAATACAAATCTAACAGGATGTTTAAATATGAATCGATGGATGGGCCTACTGATAAACACCTAATTTTCTCTACTATGTGATGGAAACATGACAGTTATCTATTGCTGTGACAACGATACAGTGTTAAGTAAATATTCCTTCCTCCACCTCAAACAACAGACACAAATACAACACTTTTGTACATAGATATCAAGTTAATGTGACACAAATACAGCATTTTATATCCATAATTCCAAGATTTGAAGTGACAATCAATGGTTGTTTTCCTCTTTCTTTCTTTTCCTCTTGCAAAAACTTGTTAAAAGCAAAAAAAAAACAAAAAACAAAAACAGATTTCCCAACACTGAAGCATGAGTGTGAATTATCTCCTTTCGACACAGTGAGAAATACATAATATAATAACAATATGCCATCGCCCGCAAGAAGGTAAACTTTTACCCTTTTTGGCTGTTTGACCTTGTAGATGGTTACAGGAAACAAATAATATTTGATTAGTGTATCAATATCTACATGTAGAACAAAAACAAAAGAGTAACATCCGTCCTTTCTTCTTTCAATCACTATGTTTTGATAAATATCTTAACAAATACCCTTTTCAGTTTAATATCCAGTAAATTAAAATTGTTATCATTAAATTCATCACCAGAATATAAATGGAATAGCTTACTTTAGATATTTTTAAAACAAGAACTCCACTATTCAGTTTCAATAAATAGGAATATTACCTTGAAGTCGATAAACTATTCAAGTCTTTTTTTTTCTTGGATTTTTATAAAATGAAAAAAAAATTGCCATCTTTTATTACATGTAATAAATGGATTCAGATGTTCTTATCAACATAAGCTGTGAATAATATGTCTTCAATTTAAACAGGTCATTAACCAATCAACCCATTATTGATATCCAGTGATAATGCAGACTATCACTCTCTGCACTCTTGGAAAATTTCATGTCAAAATTGAATGTTCCAAGTGCAACACCTTATGTACATCAAACAAATCTTGAGGTCATATATTGGTGTAATGTACTGTCTCTGAAGTTGGAAGTCTTACTTTGAAGATTACAAATTAGCATACCAGTCTGTGAATGGTCAGGTTTTTTTCTCCTGAAATCTAGACAAATTAAATCACTTCCTTTGTGACATCAATTTTGCCAGAAAATGTATCAGTGGTGCAGGAAATGAATCAGTGGTGCAGAAAGTGAAAGTGATCATAACCCCTTGAATGACAAGGATGCAATTTACCTGTTCTTTATCTAATCAACAAATGTATCTGGTCTCTCGTTAATTTACAATTACACCTTGATATAAGTTATCGATCAATCTACCTGGTCTCTAGGTAATTAACAAATCTACCTGGGTCTCGAGGTAATTAACAAATCTACCTTGTCCCTGAAGTGATTTACAACTGTACTTGGTCTCTAAATAACAATCAAATCTTCCTGATTTCTTGGTAATTAATAAATCTATCTGACTTCTAAGGAATTAATAACTGAACCTAATATGTTAACTGACAACTCTACCTGATCAATGACTAATCAATAGATCTGCCTGGTCTCTAGAAGAATTAATAATATACCTGGTCTCTATTAAGATGTCCTGGTTCTCCTCACTTAGAAGACAGTTACAAATGAGGTATTGGGTGGCTGCTATAGCCTGGTTATTTGATACACACAGCACATACAGGTAGTCCAGGAACCTACAAAAATACACAACAAGGTTTACATCCTGAAAATCAGCAGGTTTTCTTCCACTAGAACATGCCACCACAATGTCAAAAATTTGACATGAGCCTCTTTGCGGAGGACATGAATCTTTAGGCAGTGCACTGTACCATTATCCTGTGATCTCTTTCATAAAGGAATTATGAGTCAGCAGCTTTTTTTAAACTTTTAAAGGAATGCTATCAATCAAGCAATATGTAAGGTTTTTGTCTAATGGCTGAAAATGAGCCTTGGATTTTTTCACGACATTCCAAAACAAAAAGAGTTCTGCTTCTCTGCCCTCATGTTTTACCAAGATGGAACAGAAAGGTGTCTACTGTTGCTTAATGTTTTCAAGCTGATAAACACAGCACATAACTAGTTTAAGAAGGTCAGTTGTAAGACATAAGATCAATAGCAAGGCCTATTTGTCTGGTTTATAAATTTGATTTTATGAATATGAGAAAAACATGAAATATTTCACAGGAAATTGTAAGATGTGAAGACACAAATATATGCTCTCACCTTTCAATAATCCGGCAATAGAATTGTTATTAAAATGTGTAAATGACTTTTTCATAAGACAGAATAATTGTCATATTACTATGTCATAACATTAATTGTTTCATCATTGGCATATGTACAAAAATAACTAATCCACATCCGGTACAGTGGTGACATGTGCTATAAGGCCTATAACAACATGAAGAACTTCAATGTGAACAACAACTAATACTGAAAGGATTGATCAAACAACACATCTTTTCATTGAAATAAGCAAAGAATCGTAACATGTCAACATAATCATCGCTATTAATAAAGTACTTAACATTGATGTAACAATTAAAATATCTCACGTAAGATGCTATAAGATGTTTATATCACACTGTTTCCCGTATTACTGTCCATAAACATCCACCAGAAATTACATAATTAAATGCTAATTTACGTGATCAACAGTGCTGTAAGACTGAAGTTCTCCACAATGTTGTAGATACAGTCTTAATCTTGCTGATACCTAATAAAAATACATTTAGAGATACTGCATTTGAAGTATCTTGTGTTCAAGTCTAATTTTGTGATTATCATCAATTGCATTTACTCACTTGAAAGACACTTCCCTCCCCACTCCCCCTTTTTTTTTAATTGTTTTTATCTTATTTATTTCATTATCATTGTTTTATTATTGCTATTATTAATTAGAAGCAGAGATCATAACAGATTGACCACCTACATTGAGAAGGAAATTTTACCTGGGTTTTTTGTTTTTTCTGACCAAACTGACGAATGTCACAATCTCCTGCTTGGTGATGTGCTTCTCCAACAATTTTCTGTTGTTGTTCAGTAAAGCTGTTATAGTTTCCTCTGCTAAAACATCATATCCTATTTGTTTCTGCATAAATGCAAAGTATTTTGCAACATACTCCTGCAAAAATTGAAAATTTTTTAATCAAAACATACTTTTAATCAATGGGAATAATACAAAGTTTACAAAGTTAAAAATTTCAAAACATACCAAAAAGAAGACAGCTTCTTCTATTTGAGATAATAAACATAAAATTGTAGCTGAGGGTTCAGATTTCTATCTTTTTTCTGAATATGCAAGGTCGTATCAAGACAGACTAATTCCTTTTTCAGATATATTACAAGGCTACTTGTATAAAATTACTCCCTATTACTCCTCAAAATGTCTTGTTTAACATACTGTAAACCAACTTATTTTCATGTGAGATTTATTTTTGCATAATTGCTGTGAGGTAGTTTCAATCACAGGAACAGCAAGCCTTTACATGAAAACTTTGGTTTATGTTCTGAGTCAACCATCAATACATCTCATGAAATATGATTTTATGAATAAAAGGTAATTTACATACGGCAATAACCTCATCAACTTTAATTTACTTTAAAATAAAGCAAGAAGCAAACGAATACTTTACAAGCCAGTCAGGACTGATAATAATGTTAAATTGGACTTGGTATTCAGTAAAACTAGATCAAATATCATTCTTACCTTGTATAAATGCTAGTTCAATAAGAGAAGAGTATCAGTGAAACTGATGCTACCCAAATAGCTTAAATGAAAGAAAAGTTATGGTCTAGGCACAATAGGTTTTACAAAGGGCAATAACTCTACCATTAAGTATTTGGCACAATGCACATCAAGTATGAACAATGTATACACCAAGTTTCAATGACGAAAAAACAGCCTCACATCAACTTTGAAAGATCTGGCGAGATAGATAAGCAGCAAAGCACCTACAGATAACACCAAAGAGGGACACTGGGCAGAGCTCCAAATTGGGAGATGTGGGTTAATTTGGCAAAGACTGGTTTTCCCTGAAACAGTCCAAACAAACCTATGCCAAGATATCCTAATCACAGCAAGGGAAGAAAATGGTCATGACAGAGTTAACTGTCCCTAGGGAGGAGTGATGTCAAGAGGCATACAAGTGTAAATAGGGAAAGTATGCCAGTCTTGCTGATGACATGAGAGCAAAGGGATGGAGTGTGTGGGTCTTCCCAGTAATTATGGGATGCGAGGTCTTCCTACATCCTAGCTTAAATGCAAGCAAATTGAATGCTCATGACACAAAATTATAGAAAAAGGCGATTACTCTGAAATTTATGGGTTTCAGGCATGGATTTTGGTACAATGTACATCTTCTAAGAATTATCAATGTATGCATCATGTTTCATTATCCAAGTTTAAAAGCAGGCAAAATTATGCTCAGGACACAAAATGTAACAAAGGACAATAACTCTGTAATTAAGGATTTGTGGGCCCAAACATGGGTACACTGCACATTGTCTTTGTATGATCAATGTGTACACATGCGTATGAAAACGAAGTGAACACATTCATTTTTGCAATACAATCACGTTGAAACTTCTCCAAACTGTCCATGCATTAATAACATGACTCTGATATAATTGAACTCATTCCGTTCTGTACATTACATCAATCACTCCGTATACTTTCAGCATTTTCACTTAACATGTCTATGTAAAGTGAAGCAAGTGATACTTGTATACATGATGCAACTTTATTATAAATGAAATCTGCACCTATCGACCCACTATCAGGCAACAACACTCACATATGGCTTGATCTAGCCCCAGTCAGAAGGTCGGCTTATCTGAAAGAACTAGCATACCAACTGATATATTTGATGAATAGGTGTTTTTGTTAAGCAGTACAAACAAGAGACCCAAGGTGCCTGCATCACTCTCCTGACTTATTTAGCTATACAGAAATAATGAATTACAAATAATTTCTGATATAGTTTCCCTATTAGGTCCCAGTCTAGTGGTCAAACAGAAGTCATATACACTATTCATAAAAATTGATTCAGACAAAAGTTTGATAATACCGCTGTACAGAACAAAGATTTATAAGAACTTTTATTTCTCTGAATAGCCCCTACTCCTCCTGCCCCTAAAATGATTCCCCTTCACCCAAGAATACTCAAGACCCATATGGGCAATATCCATTTATACCTACAGGAGGAGTAGGATTTTAAAGAACTTGAAAAATTTCATCTCTGGCCCCTGCCCCTCCAGCCCCTTGTGACAAGAACCAATTTTTATACAATTGGGTTACTCTTCCCCGAAAGATGCTACTTACAAATTTGGTCAAAAACTGTTCAAAAAGTATTTTATTTTGGTAAAAAATAACAGATGGACCCTGAAAAATAAACAGACAACAACCACTGCTCCATGGCTAAGCTCACCGATTATTCGAACCAAGTGAGCTAAAAATTGTGGCTTTCTAATTCTACATCAATACTTATTTTCAGCTTCAATGAAATCATCAAAGAACTTGCTAGAAATGGTTTCATGTTGTCAATTGAGGCAACTATATATATTGTTTATCATCTTCCTATGATAATGTAGGTATTGTGTACAAAGCCTACCAATAACAAGTATGTGCCATGGTGCAAAGCTTGCAACTGTCAGCACAGATGCTGATTTCACAGTCCACTGGTCGTAACTTGGGTCTTGATCACTCAGGTAAGGCCGGTTTTCAGCAGTATTTTGAGTCTATTTCAATCACAAAATCTAGTTGGTATTTGGAAAAGAGAGGGATCAGTACATTTTGTTCAGGTTTCAAGACGTAATTGGTTTTGATCAGGATTGGTTTTGGGAAGTTGCACTGTAGCGATATTTGGATAAATACTTACCAAGTACAGGCTCTATACATCATGTGTTATCAGTCATTACTAATCTGGCAGTTGATGACTCACACTAAAATTGGACAGACAGAACTGAAAACTGGTCCTAAATATCTGGATTTAAGGCTGTAAATTGCAAAATTAAATTGCCGCGAAAAGTCGGTTTACTTTCAAAACACGAAAATAAGTTGGTTTACAGTATATTGCTTCAACATAAAACACTGAAGACAGATCAATTACCAATAAAAAAAACCAGTTTAAAACAGCCAATACTGTAAATGTATGTAATCTGGCACAATCAAATTTAAGCAAATATGTATGCTTGCAGTACAATTACTTTATCTACTGTATACAAATGATGACAGACATTCTCTTTTGTTTGAGAACAACATCAAACAGAACAGTGTGATGTCAGTTGTCCTTGACCTCGGTCTGGCATACCTGATTTTTCCTGTAATCCTGTTGTGAGAGACGTAGGATATGGTAACAGAGTTTACAGATCTGTCGGATGGGAGCATGACGCTGGTCCGCTAATTCCTCCATCTTCAGCAGGGGTTGAGGCCCACTGAAGGGAGCCTTAAGGATCTGGAACACCTGAGTGATGATTGTATAATCAGTATATTTAGGGTTCAGAAGGTATCAAATCATACAGCTCAATGTTGAAATGATTCATTCAAAAAAGGAACTACAATCAACTTTACCCAGATTGAACCATACATCTGTCTTTTTGACAAATGCTGTTGATAATCTAAAGCACTGCTCATGGAATGTGCACTTATTTACTTCTCTAGTAAAAAATCTTTTGAACAGCTGACAACACAAAAAGAGAAGAGGACCATGCGTACCTGTTTTAGGATGTCCTGTTCTCGGAGTAGCTTCTGTCTCTCCCTGCACTCCTTGGGTTTTGCCATTTCTACTTTGAGAGGGTCACCTCCTGTGTTCTGAGATTCTTGTTGGGTTACGAAATGCAATATATCTGATAACAGCTGTGTTACAAACCTGTCAACCAAACATCAAAGTAATCTCATTAAAAACATATAGCTATTCAAAAAGATCTGCTCAATTTGAAAATTAATGAGACAGTGACCTTAAAGTTGGCGTAAATTTAGCAGAAAATATAATCAATATCTCATGAGGTATGTGACTATAAAAGTATCAATATAACTCTCTTACTAGTTAGTTATTAATCTTGTTTCCATAACTCAAGCTTTGTGACAAGTACAAGAAATGCACTGACTCGCATCTGATCGATGAGCCAAGTATGATATATCAATCAAGACATGTAAGCATCTATCTGATCAAAGAGCCTGGTATGAGATAGCACTACAGAAATGTATAGATACAGAGAGGGTACAAATATATATATCGTAACAAGATACAAACTTTCTGACAGAGATCAAGACAGGATAAAAACTTTGTAAATGAAGATCTCTAGCTTAGAGAAATGAATCAGATACAATATTTTGTAAAATGCACAAAAACATTTGTCACAACAACTTCTTTGTCACTAATACAGGATAAAGACTTTGTGAAAAGAAGATCTTATAACGAGCTATTAAAGAAGGTAAAAGGTACTACCATAGAGAAATTAATCAGATATAATGTTTTGTAAAATGTACAACACCTTTGTCACAACCATTCTTTTATCGCTAATACCTTCTTTCATTCTGTGTGATGCAGCCCTTCTCCAACTTGACAGCAAAGTCTGCCAGTACTCGACTAGCATCATTGGCAAAGTCAAGGTCCCTAACTTCTGATGGTGGAACTGGTACTATAGCAAAAGCCTCACGATCTTCTTTTATCTGGGCACACCCAACCTTGAAATGCCAACAGGAAAATTTTATTTTAACATGATATGTCAAATATTGTGTTCTCGTCATTATATGAAAACATCTTTCTTAAAATTTATCAAGATTATAGAAATTTGTGTTGCTGAAGTCATACAACAGTGGCAATGTGCATGGATCAACAATGCAAACTAGTAAGAATACTTTAAATCTAATATCATAACACTACTATTTAGTTTGAACATTAATTTGTTTTTTAATGACTCAATATAATCAAAGCTTGGTAGACGGATATCATTCAGATTGGATAAGTTCTCCACCAATTACATTTTTTTATTAGAAATATTTTAAAAGTGAATGACTTTCAAAAGAATATCGTTTGTACCTTCTTCATGATGGGTTTATCTTCATCCTTGTCCAGAGGAATGGAGGTGCTATGGACCCAGCTATTGGTGCACAGATGGTGCAGTCGCACAAAAGAGTTCCTGTGGAAACATGGCATAGCACAACAAAGGAATTTAACACATTATTTAGGCTTGTGGCTGAAGAAAAAGTTCTTACAGATAGGAAGAGCATTTAAATGGGACTGATGATCAGTCAGATGGAAACAGCATAAATGATATGGTTGAACCACCATTGAAAAAAATCAGTTATCTATAAGATATTAATGCCTTGTTAATATGCAAACCAAAATCTAATCAGGTGCAGAAGTTTTTGATATAATACTGTGAGGTAAATATGAATCAAAACTGAGAGTGACATTGATTCAGAACCTCCATACTCATTTCAATAGGCAGAGAGTAAGACCATCTGGTTATACCTGGGTACATGCGAGTCTCTGGTCATTGTCGTGGGATCCAGCTCAAAAATGGTGGCCACATCATGGCCATGAGGTACAGATACGAGACAGAAAACTGGTGCAGTGTTTGTACCCCTGAGTTTGTTCCTCATGGTGTCTGGTGCTTGATCTTTGTCGACCTAGACCAAAATAGAGATAAATCTGATGATCTGAACATTTCCTTGTGAATTAACATAGGTATAATATATTAAATAAAACACTTACCTTGTTCCATACATCACAATCTGAAGTCAATATCAAACTTATGTACATCAACATGGAACAATAGTAAATCACCTTATACAAATGTTTGTAATACAGTGTAATACAGGCTACTGTGCACATATTGCAGTCAATCACTATATGCTTTGTATATCCTAGAGGCAGACTTACACCAGTAGGCAGAACTTACCTCAGCAGCTAAGTACTTTACTTCTAAAATATGACTAACTCAGCAGTTAAGTGCTCTCCTGTAGCCAGTGTTAAAAATCTATACAGATTCACTCCTATAGATAAGACCTACCTCTGCAGCTAAGCACTGTTCTGTAGCAAATAATTTTAATCTGTACATACTTACAACCATTAATATGACTTACCTCAGCAGCTAAGTACTGTCCTGTAGCAAGATGTTTAAATCTATACAAACTCATCCACTGACCAGCTCCCCCACGACAAGGGTCATGTTGTACCACCTGGAAACCAAAAGGTACAATTATGGTGCAAGTCCTGAATGTGTAATGCAAAAAAAAAATGTCTCCTGCAAAATGAATCCAACAATATCCAACAAAAAATCACTTTGTCAATCTATTACAAAAAACAATCATAATGTTCGTTAGATGTTTGACTTAAGGGACATTATCGTAAATACCTCTATTTCCCACAATGCCTTGGAGCTAGTTGCTGTGGTGGCAGTCTGTCGGGCGGTGATCCTAAGGAACACAAATTGCTGCCTTTTATACTCGTCACACGTCAGAAACATCTGTTCCTCAGCATGAAACAACCGTACCACATCACCCTGTAATGTTACATCAGACAAAAACATCCGAATTAACAATAACCTTAAGGAATAATACTACATAGCTACTTATTCAATCTTGTTCCAGGGACACATTATTCAGCCAAATTGATAGAGAACTTTGTACCATACACCTATATTGTACCTAAAGGTTTTATTTCTAATTAGTTATTACTTCTTCAGATCCATGAATAATAAAAAAAAACACACAAATAAATGAATTCTGAGAGTTTTAAAGGCTCTGGGACTTCAACCATTGTTGGCTCTATATATTGATTTTATGTCAAGTAAATGAAGGGATCCTACTTTCTGGAAAATAGCGACAACAAACATCAAATGCTAACAATCAAAATGGCAGCCTACAAATCATGCTGTTTTTCTTATCAGTCCTCTATGTTTTGAAAAAGAATCCCTCTTGTACTACTTAGTATTAACAAGGACTGTTTCAGGATGGATAGCAAATACATGTCCAAAATGTTGACAACAGACCACAGACAAAATGGGACTGGAATGTTTTTACTGGTCTAGGTTATTAAAGGCACTCACCCCTTTAAGAACCTCTTCTTTGTTTTCTCGATAGTCCATAAACAATGTCATCTTCCAGCATGCTGGGCTTGCTGTATTTACAGAGTTCACCTGAAATAATGTCACTTTTCATAGAGTAAATTCAAAAATTACAAACATTAAATCCGTCGTATCAAATTAATAAATCCACAAAATGGAAGTGCATTATGTACAGCTTAGTATATAATATTTTGACACTACAGAATCACATATCCATAAAGATAAGAATATATTAAGAATATTAAAAGGACAAAATATTTGGTCAAATTTGTAAATAAAGTGAAACCCGCTTATTATCATGTTCCATTTGTCTGGGAGAAATGTGATAAATAAGTGGAATGTAACATTAACAGCCGACACATTTTTTCTGGATGTCTGTTTAATCTTTGAAATATCTAGACTGCTATCATAAATTATTGTGAATGATCATAAGTCATATTCACAGTTTACATGTGGTCAGATTTATATGTGACACTACTAAGTCATCAGCTGATGTTTTGTCATATAATTTATTCATCCATTACTGTATAGGCTTCATAATGGGGCATCATTGCAAAGTTGATATATACAGTGTGTACCTCTGCAACTTCGATAAAATTTGTTCTGAAGATCACAATTTGAGCATTGCTGAAAAAAACCAGTGTTCACATTTCATTGACTTTTAAATTAGTGGCTATTTTTAATGGCCAATCAGATGTCGTGAAACACAGCATAGGGAAAACCCGGTTTCAGAAAACTTAACTATCACCTTACCAGTGCTCGCAATGATGTGCTGAAGATAAATTAAACAATCAATGATTTGAAGAAAGATTAAAATGTCAACACTCTGATGTTATGACCGATTAGATTTTTAGTCTTCACTACTTACTATACATTATTTACCCTGAAGGAATCATCTGAGAAAAGTGAGTATGATATCAGCAAAGACGTACATGCCCAGTGAAGCTTTTCTGGGCATGTGTGATGACTTTATATGTTTATTAGGCCTAATCCAGACTTCATTTTGCAAAACTTGAAGTTCAAATCGGTTATTTTAGTATCTTAAGCTTTGTACCAGAAATGTGTTCTGATAAATGATGGTGACATATGTAATGACAACATTGACATGCTGTGGTTTGGTGTCCCAAAGGTCATTGTAAAAAGAAACATAACAAAAACAATTTATTGTAAATTGATTATTTTCTGAAATGTCTTTTGCAAAACGATCTTTTTTGTTTCAAAGTTGATCCCAGTATGCATACTAAAGACTCATTTTCAAGAAATTTTAGTAGCATGTCAGAAAACTTAACAGCATGGCACCCATGCCAACATCGGTTGCATTGTGTAAAGTTTCAAGTGACAAAGTATTTAAAACCCATTTCAAGACTAGGAATGAGCTAGTCATTTTAAATAAAAAAAATGCACTATACTTCCTTTGACCTAGCTGGACCTGCCAAGAAAGCAGGTTAAACTTATTGTTTGAGAGTCTTCTCCGATAGCTGTTCTATCCTCTATTGAGTAGAGCAAAACACCAACCTCCTTACAGCCTGGCTTGTCGATAAGTTCGTAGGTACTGGCATGAAGAGGCTGTCCAGCATTGACTGGGTTGAGCACCACCTTGTCCCCTACCACCACCTTAATAATAAAACAACATCTCAACAACATATGATTTCCTTTATACCATTTCAACTCTGATTGAAACCCAATGCTACTTTGAAGTGCAGTGATAAATCTACATGTGAGTCGTAGAATTCTTATGGGACTCATTGAATTTTTGGAAATACTTCTACTTTATATTAAAGGTAGGTCAAAAGTACCAAAGAAAATAAATTGTTGATTGATCACTGGATGGAATATTTTTTTCTTTTTCTCTTTTTTTTCCCAATTATTTATTTAGTTTTTGAGATACTACATGAATGCCACCTCTTCTATGTAAACTGAAATCTGATCAGGTGTAGAACTTGACATTATGATACTAAGTGATATATGTAAACAAAATCTGGAGATTCTCAAGATATTACACTGATTCAGTATAGCATGCCACAGTCTGACCAGACACAAAGTGAGTAACACAACCTGTCCCTCTCCTTAAAATGGCTTGGTATATTAACATGAAGATATTCAATAGACAATGGAGAGCTGAATGTATCCATTGTACAACATACCGGATCCCCTGCCTGTCGAAGCTTGTAAAACGGCATGATATAGAACCAGGAACCTTCATTTCCTGCCGTATCCAATGTCACTCGCATGGCATTCTTCTCTAGTAAGGCAGGTAGGCGCTTGTTTACAGTCAAGTACTTGTTACTCTTTAGATGGAGTAACTAAAACAAAAGAAATTATACAATTTTTTTTTCTTTATTCTACACTTTTGATGGCATAACTGAATAACTGAAACATAACATTTGTACTCATTTACATTAGAGAGACACACTAAATGAACCTTTACAAGAACAAAGGTTGTACACAAATCTTCATTTGGGCAGGTAATGTCTCTTTAGAAATAACAAAATATTCTGATTTCATAATCATGACAACGAACCAACACCATCACCTTCGATCCATACAACATTCCAACCCTCTAAAGATACCAGTCATGTTAATGTTTACACAAATTTGGTACAAAATTCCCTTCATGTACAATATGTGTTTTGAAATAGACCCCATGTATCAAATTTATGAGACATTAGTGATCACTTGTTATAAATAATAGACCACCAATAAAGCCTTTCATATAATGCCTCTAGAGTTGACATCAATACAAGAAAGACTGACTGTAGCCCAATCTACTTTCACTGTACTACAGCTAGGACCAAATTTCAAAGCCATCCAGATGGAGAAATAAGAACCAAATCCAATCATGCCAAATAGATCACAGCACCATATAAAATGCATTGTTCTGACAAAAAAGTGCTGTAGTAATTCTTTGAAGTCCATGGCATTGATTGATTTTACCCCCTCATAATAAAAACAAGTGACATTCATCACATTTGAAACAAACAATAATGAATGTTGATATTTGCAAGGTAATTTTTTGAAAGAGTTATCAAATTTCATAAATGTCAAGAAAATATCCAAAGTAATAGAGTATTAGTTTCACGTCTGATCAAAGGTATCATTGTTTGCCATTTAGTATACATATGTCATCATCATTAATTGATGTACATTAAATGACTATTGATTATTCTAAAGAAAATATCTCTGACAAAAAGTTACATGACAATATTGATTTGCTGTATCTGAGACTTCTCGCCAGAAAACTGGTATAATATTTTTTAATAAATCATAGAAAAAAAAAATTGTTCTTTGTCTTGGAGGGACATGCTTATAGTTGAAGCTGTTGGTAATTACAGATTATGCATGGAACCAGTGTGGGTTGTATGTGATGCTGGCACCACAATCAATAACCACTTGATTACTGCCATGTCTGCTGGGAGAAGGTATAAATATAGTTGACTTAGTTATCAGTGTCAATCACCTGTGTCAGCAACTCTTATCATCTGCACTGAACAGTTATGATTCTGTTAAGAGGAAGTCAATGGGAATTGTGTTTCCTAAAATAGCTCCTTTTGTAGATGTATGATTGACATTTTCTAATTGGAATTGGTGGCTGGGGAAACACTGAAGCCAATACATATATATTATAACACATGCATCCAAATATCATTGCCTCAAAGGCATACTTATTCAATTCCATCTCATAGATTCTTTTCTTATCCTCTTGTTGCACTATTGTTGAAGCTGAAACCCAGCAATGTTTAAAATTCTCTATGTAAATAAGATAATCAAATTTGTTGAATAAGTTTTATCTTATCACCAAGTCGAGTGAATTGATAATTGGTTATTAATCACCAATTTAACTTCATAGCCTACAATTATTGCCTTTTCATTTAATATAACGAAAAATTCAGAGTTACTCTAGAGTACTGACTTTCTGTGAACTAATTGGGTTCAGCTATTGATTTGCCACTTAAACAGGTTTTAAAGACATTCTGTTAACAAGGTTCAATCATTCACTTGTAACTAATCAAACTAAACATTTTGCTAACAAAGCTTAATTACTGACTATTCACTAACTTAACCAGATATTCTGCTTACAAAGCTTAATTACTGACTTGTCACTTACCTAATCTTACATCCTGCATACAAAGTTAAATTACTGACTTTTTTATAACCTAACCAGACATTCTGCTTACAAAGTTAAATTACTGACTTGTCATTAACCTAACCAGACATTCTGCTTACAAGGTTAAATTACTGACTTGTCACTAACCTAACCAGACATTCTGCTTACAAAGTTAAATAACTGACTTGTCACTAACCCAACCAGACATTCTGATTACAAGGTTTAATTACTGACTTGTCACTAACTTAACCAGACATTCTGCTTACAAAGTTAAATTACTGACTTGTCATTAACCTAACCAGACATTCTGCTAACAAAGCTTAATAACTGGCTTGTCACTAACCTAACCAGACATTCTGCTTGCAAGGTTTAATTACTGACGTGTTAATAGCGTAGCCAGACATCCTGCTTACAACGTTTGATTACTACCTTGTCACTTATCTTATTTCTTGTATATGTTGTATCCTCATGAGATTTTTACCATTATGTTCTATTTTCTAACTTCAGCTATTGTTTCTGTTATATAACCAAGTTATCATGTAATATCTTTAAATATTTACATGTAATTGTCACCAAACTCTACAATGTAGTAACCATAAAATCCTTTAAAGCCCTATATGGTTTTGAAAGTAATTTGTTAATGGAACTGACCAGCTTTTAGACACTAAGTTAACCATGTTATAAATGTCAGAAAGTCAATCAATTTGTGTGATGACATGTTAGAAACCTCCAGAAAACAATAACAATTTTGTACGTCCAAATGCCTTATCTATATAAAACCATTGGGGGCAAACAATCTCTGTGGAACATAAAAACATTCTCAGCGTTAAGTAATTGAATTGCACCAGCAGTTTAATGTCCAGAGTTTGCAAAAAGCAAATTCTTGATGTCTTGTAGCATTAACAATTTCTGAAGGAAATTGAAGATGGCATAAATGTTGACTCAGTACAAAATTTACCTGGATTACATTGCCATACTGAATTTCTGATCCCAGCTGTTTCTTGTTTTCGGCCTCATTCTGTTTTTTCTCCAATTCTGCAGCATGCTACAATGATGAATTATCACTTGCTAATGCTAGTTTCAGAAATAGTTGTTATAAACAAGTGTAAAATGTAATTTAAGTGCAAATGATGACAACACTTCATGTTTTCATACGGTATGTGAAATAGACAAATGAAAAATGTGTAGGCTTTTATTCTGTTGTTTCATCTTTTTCTTTTAACTTCAAACATTACTAGGCTATCTCAAATAAGTTGCATTGAGGTTTTTAAAATGAGAGAGAAAGCTTACATGGAGTTTTTTCAACAGAACTGTATCTGGAGCACTGGTGAGATTTGTACCTCCGGTACGTTGAGCGGTCCAGAACTGGTTCTGAGCAGAATACCGGTTCATAGGACATATCTTGAACAGGCAGTCTACAAAGATAACAATATCAGCATAGGTTAAACAATTATCATAAGTTTGCAGCAATTAAAGCTTTCATACAAACAAACAAGATTTTCAGTGAAATTGATGAATGCTCCCCAAAAACGAATTTTTTGGACACAATATTTCAACAAAGGTCAATAATTCTGTGCAATAAAGGGGTTGCAGGCCCTGATTTGGTATCTTGCACATTCTCCTAGTAGGGTCAAGGTATGCACCAAGTTTCAAGATCCTTGCTTACATGCAAGCAAAAGTATGCTCTAAGCAAGATATTCTTAACAAAGTGCAATAACTCTGTACCTAAAGGGATCCGGGCCCTGAATTTGGTAAACATAACATTGTTTTAGTATGATCAATGTATACCCTAAGTTTCCTGATCCTTGCTTAACTGTGAGCAAAGTTATGCTCCATACAAGAAATTTTTAACAAAGGGCATCAACTCTAAATAAGGGGTCAAGGGCCCTGTGTTTGGTACACTACATATTTTTTGAAAATATAATCAATCTATCCACAAGTTCATTAACCTAGTTTAATGCAAGCAATTGAAAGTTGAGTTCTAAACACAAAATATTTACTGAATTTGGTACACTGCACATTGTCTTAAAATTATTTATGTAAACAAGTTACGTTATCCTAGTTTAAATGCAAGCATAGTTATGCCCCTTGACATTAAATCATAATAAAAGGCAGTAACTCTGTAACTGAGGGATCAAGGGCCCTGAATTTGATACCCTTCATATCCCCATAGTATGACCAATATATACACCAAGTTTCATGGTTCTTGCTTACTTGTGGGCATAGTTATGTTCCAGACACAAAAGGATGCACAGACAATACTACCCCAACATTTTTGGGGAACATAAAAATTAAGTATCTCTGTTGAGAACTATTATTACAATAACAATCAATGGATGGAGTGGGCACTTCCACTTTTAGATCTTGATCATTTATATACAATATATGAGCATATATTGTTTTGGACACATCTGAACCCAAGGGTTTCTGCCTACAATGGATATTATCATTTTCTTTATAAAAATGAAAATGAATAAAACACATATATCATCTAAATTTTCTTTTTTTTCCCCCTTTATTACATTCAAAAGAATATGCATGCATATATATACAAAGGTATTCACATTTTCCTGTTAAATCATTTATTAGTATTTTGAAACTATCTTTCTTTCATCATATTGTTTATTATTATTGGATATTAGACCTTAAAATTGCTATCATCAAAGTGGGAAGAAGATACCCAGAAAGTAAACTGCCAATAGTAAATCAAGGCAGTATGAACATACCCTATAGTCTCATCCATAAATATTTTTTTTCTTCTGCTTCAAAATTTATCATTTTATTATCCATGTCAGAGCAATCATTCTAACACTGAAAATCTATCATGATTACACCAAGTCATCTTATATCACTTGGGTTGGTTAAATTTCTCCTCAGAATGAAATAGCTGTATGCATGTCAGTTGTCATATAATGATATTCAAGTAATAACCTACTCAGATGGCACTTGAAGCAGTTCCATTATACATGCATTAGGACTTTTTGATAATCACAAAGCATGTGCTCAAATACACATGTACATACAAAAAGATGAACAAATATGAATATTTTCCACCTTGATTGATGTCATTTGATACCAACTTGCCTTGTTTTTAAATTTCTTTTTCATATTCCTAACATATGTTTACTAAATGAATACACATTCCATGTAAACAGTGGTACAGAGGGCATCTAAGTAAGAAAAACAACTCTGTCAGTTCTATACACCGTAGCAATTTAATAAGAGTAAGCATGTAGACCTGTCAAGCAAGGACAGGTGATATAGCAGCAGGTTAATAGATTCTTAATGGTAGGGCAAATATACACAGGCTGTATGTGATGTAATTAGGCATAACTGCTGAAGACAAATGTATCCTATCACATAGTATCAGAGAGAGTCTGAGAAGATACTATCCTGACACTCAGTCATTCAGAAATTGTAATAGTAGGTACACACATAACCTCCACTATACAATGTCAACTCTCATTATACAAGTTTAATATAACAAAGGAATGTATATATAATTACTTGTATGTACACAGTCATAAATGACATATAAATCATAAGATCTAAAGAAAACTGTCATCAACAGATGACAAACACATATAGACAAACATAACTGTTTCATGAAGCAGAATGTCTACTTAAGCCCTGGTTTAATTCATTAGAAATCACTGCACTCTGTCTACAACAAGCATAATATGACTAAACAATGACATAAAAACAAAACTGATTAATGCAGAAGTTGAAAGATTTTTACCATTCAAAGTATTTGGGCATGAGATTAGACATACATCATACATGTAGAGACTATAGCATTAATAAATATAACTGTAGATTTACAAATTGAGAGAACCCTATGCAAACATGTATTCAAGTCCTGAACCAATCAATTTTTTCCTAAGAGATATAAAAGCAACAAGCCATCAACAGAGGTTTGAAAACATCGTTTTCCAAAAAGCTAAATAAATTTTATAAATGCCTTTGTATCCAGAGTCTTGTATTTATTCCCTTTTAAATGAGATTTGTGAAATAAAAAAAAATTGTGCATTTAATTATTTATCTAATATGAAATGGAAAATCCATATAAAACACTAACTGATCAGGTGACCAGAAGCTATACATTTTTTTCTGTACAAAAAAGACAATTTCATGTTTTAAACATGTAAAGAGAATATCAGAAAGGTATATTTTCATTGTTTTGAGAAGGGATTGGAATGATAAAGACACTCAAACAGTTGTATGAAGAATGATGAACAAGTGATTGTTTGTATCAGACAGATATATCCTCATAAAACCTGACAGAAGGATAGATAGATACCAGCAGGTTTTGTAAGATTTTCAATCAATATTTTGTGTGATGTACGTATATTGAATGTCATGCCATCTTAACGATCCCCAGTGAAATCATTATAATCACTTCAAGCACACGGTGGAGCCCATATTGTCCTCAGACTTGTCATAAAGACTGAAAGACTGACCTGGCTGGTCTAGTCTATCATTCCAGCTGTGGCAGCTTATACAAATGCCCAAGAAGGGGAAGGACTGAGGAGATGGACAATTAGGTCGACAGATTTTTTATATACATAAAAAATAAAGGGGAAAAACATTAATTTGATGATAAAACAGATCAAAATTTTATAAAACAGATCAAAATTTTGATAAAATCTACAGAAAAAGAAAGATGTTCAGAACTAATTTGACTTTACCAACATATAAAAAGAAATCTATTGATTATCCAATATAAACAAAATGTTCAGCACAAATATAGCCAAATGGTTGTTTTCCAGTGACAGTCTGTACATTTCTGAACACAATGTGACAAAACCCTTTCTTGCCTTTCAACTGTGTAGGATTTGTTATTTGTTAAATACCAATTATTCACAGTTAGGTATGACATGTTCAATAATCCAAACAATCAAGTGATTTTAATTATAAAACATAATAGAAAAACTTCCATTTGAAAGATATCACAGCAGCAGATCTGCATCTATCCAATAAAATCTCACAAATCTTGCTAAGGAAAACAAAGTTGTTTTATAAAAGAAAAGTACACAACACACTCAAATCTTCAGACCACTTATACAACTCAAAACTGCACAACAAGACCTTTTATCCAATACAAATAACCGTAAGATATATGTCTCTGTTATTACACTCCAATACTTTAATTCCAGGATGTTGCCATTTGTTATCAAATTCCAGACTATATGATACCAGGATACAATTTGTATCTTTGACCATAAGATACAATTATCATGAAATTGGCAGATAATCAAGCAATATGTTATCGAATAATACAAGAAAACCCAAGCAGTTACTTAAGTATTTTGTATAATTGTAACTGGAGCCAGATCCACCTGAGACATGAAGGATGTGCACACATGTAGATTAACATGTAGATAATACTGATGCTACTTCCTGGTTACAGCGCAGTGAATGTCGAACATACACATATCTGCATGTATACATTAAAAAGATCACTTCCGGCTAAAGTTTAACTTTATATAAGTCCTACACCCTATACAGTTTTTGTTAGAGCAAACACTGTAACTAAATGATTCATTATTTAGATATTCAAATTATTTGTAAACATGTTGACATTCGGAACTGTAAATGTAGTCAAAATCTGCCAAAATTGATACTGTATGTTATCAAACATTAAAAGCTAATAGTACAGGTGAAGTGAAAGTATCGTACTTGCTGCTCTCCTTGCAGGATCTTATGAAGCAATTGAATTTGGAATTTGATCTTTTCCCTAATATATCCCTTGACATGGTCTCTGAACTGACCTTTAGTTAGATTCATCCTTGTGAGAAGGCTTTGGGTCATGTGTTGTCCAATGTCTGAGATATATTACAGTCTTTATGAATTGTAGTTACTATTCTCAACTTAATTCTTCAGCATTCTGGTAGAGTTGCCCTTTGTCAGTAAGGTACAAGGTGGTGTGTCATACTGTGGTACTTCCGCTGTTCACTTCAGTGTGATAGCACTATAAGTTGGCTTCAGTTCCGCAAAATCATAGGGAGGCTACTCATATATATTGCAGCAAGTAATAACACTCGGCAATTAAGCACTCATCTTGTACAAAAAGGGAGGCCATCTTTAATTATGACTATAGCTGTTGATCAAGGCATTAATATCATATAAATAGAGCAAAATCAAACCAGATCATTTCAATTTTGCTTCAACCATTTTGTTTTTAAAAGCAATTTTACTTCATCTGCTTGTGTAGAGCATCAATAAAGTTTATTTGACTTCAAATCCAATACCACTTCCTTTGTGGAAAAGTTTTTCAACAGATTACTGTACACCAAGAAAATTATGTTCACATCTAATCTCAAAAGTCAATCTTGAAAAAAAAATCTTTTATGCAAATGGAAATACACTAAAGGCAAGACACTTTAAAACTCAAGAAATACAGGAATTCTCTTTA